CGGGGTAGGAGGTGGGGGGGGGGGGGGTCGGCGAGGCCCCCGGGGGCTGGGAGTGTTGGAGCGCGGGCCCCCGGCTCTCCCACCCCGCCAGAGCAGCCGTGCTGCCGGCCTCCCTGCCTGCCTGCCTCCCTCCCTCCCTCCGCGGGGCAAAGGCAGAGCCGGGACACGGCCCCCGCGTTCCCGATCCTCCCCCCGACGCGGTGCCGCACGTCCCGGAGCGAGCGGCGATCGCTCCCCGGGGTGGGGGCGTCACCGCCCGAGTGGGCGGGGCCTGGCGGGAAGGAGGGGCGGGGCTGGGTGGGGCAGAAGGCGCCAATCCCGGCCCAGCGCGGGACTTTTAAACTCCCCCGGGCGCCGCGGCGATCGCTGCTCCGCCGGGACCGGCCGCGCCGGTCAATGGAGGGAGGGAGGCGGAGCAAGCGCCGGCGATATCGCGGGTCTCCCGAATTGCACGTAGGGAAACATTTCCGCTTTAAGGAAGCCCGGGGCTCCCTCACGCAGGCTGTACCGAACGCGCACGTTTCGAAAATGGTAACTTTCTCTTTTCTGTACGAATTCCTGCTAAAACCGTGTAAAGATTTGCTTTTGCTGCTGCCGTTACCGCAGCGTTCCAGCTCTTTTTCGAGACTGAGTGGGTGGCTCTTAAAAGAGCCTTTGGGTTTATTTAAATGAGTAGACTCTGTAATTCCTTCTCAGGCATTTTACTTCTTTTTGGGCGCCGCCTTCTTTGCTTTGGCCGCTTTGGGCTTGGCCGCCTTGGGCTTGGCTGCTTTGGGCTTCACTGCCTTCGCCTTGGCCGGGCTCTTTGCGGCTTTCTTGGGGCGGCCTGCCTTGGTGGCCTTCTTGGGGCTCTTGGCCGCTTTCTTGGCCGCGGCAGCCGCCGGCTTCTTGGCTTTCTTGGGGCTCTTCTTCACGGCCGCCGCCTTCTTGGGCTTCTTGGCGGCGCTGGCGGGCTTCTTGGCCGCCGGCTTCTTGGGCTTGGCCGCCGGCTTTTTCTTGGTGGCCTTCTCTTTTGTCTCACCCGGCTTCTTGTTCAGCTTGAAGGAGCCGGAGGCGCCGGTGCCCTTGGTCTGCACCAGGGTGCCCTTGCTGACCAGGCTCTTGAGCCCCAGCTTGATGCGGCTGTTGTTCTTCTCCACGTCGTAGCCGCCGGCGGCCAGCGCCTTCTTGAGCGCGGCGAGCGAGAGCCCCTTGCGCTCCTTGGAGGCGGACACGGCCTTGGTGATCAGCTCGGTGACGCTGGGGCCCGCCGGCTTGCGGGCTTTGGAGCCGCCCCCCGCCGCCTTCTTCGGCTTCTTGGCGGCGGTCTTGGCGCCGGGAGCAGAGACAGCGGGAGCGGCGACGGGCGCGGTCTCCGACATCGCGGCGGCCTCGTCCACGGCTCGGGGGAACCACTGGGCCTGGAGCAAGTCGGCGGCCTCGTATTTATAGAGCGGAGCCGCGCGGTGATTGGTGCGCTGCAGAGCCCGCCCCGCCGCCCGGCAGAAAGGGCCCTTCGCCCCGCTCGGTTTGTGTTTCTTAGGAGGCGAAAAAGCCGGTTTTTAGCAGCATTTCTGCCCCCGACCCCCCCCCGGTTCGCAGCGGCGTGGAGGAGGAAGACTGTTGTTGCCCTCGGCCGAGTTTCCCTTCGAAGAGGCAAAGGGTGAGTTAAAAAAGAGGCGATAAACCCCGAGTCCTGGACCTGGAGAGACCTCGGGAGACAGAAACTTTTGTTTTTCCTTCTAAATAAAATCCGCGACGTGGGCAACCGAATCTCCAGAGTAACTGATTATTATTCTTCAAAGGGTCTTCTCCCGATCCGAACTGAAAATCGGGGGCTTGAGTCGGTATTTTCACGGCAAATTGATTTCAAAGAGGAGGAAGTAACACAGGCTCATCTTGAGCACTGAATATGGATTAGAAATTAGCTTCTTTGTCCAAAATCCTTTACCCCTTTCAAAATAATTAAAATAAATTAAATTAGTGCATTATGCAACAAGGCAAGAAGCAGATTAAAGTGCCGTGAAGGGCTGTTTGTGCCCCAGAAGGAGATGACTTTTTACAGCACAGCAGCTTGTACTGTGTTGCCCGGTGGGCACAATACAGGCATGGTTCCCTCGTGCTCTGCTATAGAAATATTTATTTTCTTAGTAAATTGGGTGACATAAGAACTTAACAAGGCCAGTTTTTGTTAATAATTATAACCAGTGCCCTATCACTTTGTAATTCAGCGGAGTTTTTATTTTGATACAGCTTGATTGGTGAAAATCTGAGTCATCGTTATCTAAGGAGACACTGCTGCCGCTGATTTTTCCATGCTTCTACACAATAAAACTTGCTCGAGTTATCAGCTGGGACTCCCCTTTCACAGCAGACAGCAAGATATTCCATTTTTTACTGTCCAGTGACCAATTCCTGCATCGGAAGTAATATTAGAAAGGGCTTATCCAACTGATGTATCTGCTAGAGTAAAACAACCGGCTGCTAGCAAGAGGGGGAAAGTCTTCATCTGCACTTTACCAAGAACATGCTTAAATAAATTAAAAATAAATGCAGTTTATTTTTCAGAGTACAGAGAATTAAAAGAAGTATTCTGATATATTCATTATTGCCTACAACCCTTTGTTTTGCCAGAGGCCTGCAAACTGCTTGTTACCTCCTGTTATTGTAACTGTCAGCGGTACTAAAATTTTGTGTGATGTTATGATTCATGTACTTCATGTTTTCAAATGGGTAATTATTAAAACTTGTTTATTGACCCACAACCACTGATTTTCTGTTTCTATTTCAACACCTTTATGGTAATGTTCAGCACTATTTATAAGGTAGGATCAAAACTGGCAACAGTCCTTTTCACCTCAAATTGCCTCTCCACTGATTACCAATTATTCTCAAACCCATTCAGATTTCAGGCAGGAAACAGGCACGGCAGCTCAAAGCCATGAGAAAATTGTATTAAAAATTAAGAATTGCAGAATGCCTGTTGTTACGAAGAAAAGATGAGGTCTGTAGGTCAGAAGGTTGTTTAGAGGGGGACAGGGTTGTTTTTAAAGACCTGAGTGACCTCAACTCCCCGGGCCAAGCTGACACAGGAGAGGCCTGGGGAGGGGCTGTGGGTTCCTTCCTGCAATAAATCATCAGCTTTCTGTCTTTCTCACCTTTACCAGAGCAAGATGGTTCTTTTCACAGGGAATAAACCTGGTTAATTTTAGGACGCATTTACCAGTAACTGCCATGTTACTTTGTAATGTTGGTTTTGAAAAAAACAAACAAACGCCTTCAAATGCAAAAGATGACAAAAAAGGGTTGGGGTTTGGACTTTTGTTGTTGTTGTTGATAGGATCTGCAGCTCCTTTTTTGAGGAAGTGGGTGGCTCTAAAAAGAGCCTTTGGGTTACTTTTGAGGTGGGAACGCTCCTCAGGTCCGTTTCACTTGCTCTTGGCCTTGTGGCTGTCGGTCTTCTTGGGCAGCAGCACGGCCTGGATGTTGGGCAGCACCCCGCCCTGCGCGATGGTCACCTTGCCCAGCAGCTTGTTGAGCTCCTCGTCGTTGCGGATGGCCAGCTGCAGGTGCCGGGGGATGATGCGCGTCTTCTTGTTGTCGCGGGCCGCGTTGCCCGCCAGCTCCAGGATCTCGGCCGTCAGGTACTCCAGCACGGCCGCCAGGTACACCGGGGCGCCGGCGCCCACCCGCTCCGCGTAGTTGCCCTTGCGCAGCAGCCGGTGCACGCGGCCCACGGGGAACTGCAGCCCGGCCCGCGACGAGCGCGACTTGGCCTTGGCCCGCGCCTTCCCGCCCTGCTTCCCGCGGCCGGACATCGCTCCCGACGCTTCGCCCTGACGTGAGACGCGCGTCGCTGCGCCTCCCCCCGCCCCCGCCCCCCCTTTTATAGCTTCCCCGCGCACCCCGGCCTCCTAGCTGATTGGTTGTCGCACGCTCTCCCTCGCTCCGACCAATGGCGCCGCGGATCCAAATCCAGCCAATGGGCGAGCGGGAGGCTGGCCCTCCCCGCCCAGCTGCCCCCGCCCGCCCGCCCAGGAGGAACGGGCCGGGCCGTCCCGGCGCACCGGCGGGACCGACCCCCCCTCGGGCCCCGTCCCCTCGGCTCCCTTCGGCCGGGCGAAGCGGCCGCCGCTGAGCCCAAGAGGCCCTCCAGAAGGCCAGCTTCTCGGGAAGCGTGTCCCCCGCCTGTCTCGGGAGAGCGGAGCCGCCCGGGAACGGGGGGGGGGGGGAACCTCTGCTGACGCCGTCGCTGTCGTTTTAGAAATCATCCTGTGCTTAGGACCTCAGAAATGCTACCACAGGATTCCCTTTTTTAAAAAAAAATAGTTGTTACAAAGGAGAAACGTTCCTCTCCGTAGGAACGTTCACAACCCAGCACTACCGATAGGTGCAGAAACTAGGCAGGAACACGTAACAGGGGAAATTTGGCTGATTCTGGAGACAAATTACTCGGATATTACTGTAATCAAACGAATATGGTACTATTTGCAAGGCTGTTCAGCAGAGCATTAGACGTCAGGCTGTGACGCTTTTACTCAAGCTGGAGAACATCTCACTGCACTGATAAGCTGAAGTGACGTCTTCAAGGTTCAGGATGTTTGGACCGTCTGGCCCTGTCTTACAAAGAGATTCCTGTTCATTTTTCCTCCTTTGCTCTAATTACCCATGGTTTCTCTTTATTCCCTGTCATCTTTTTCTCATTCTTCCATACACTTTGAGCAAGAGCAGACACTATCCTTGTCTGAAGCACTGAAGGAGCCTGCACCCTGGACTTAACCACATCCTTCTGCCACCCCAGTGTTGCACAGCAGGCTCTTCCTCCATTTTCCCCACAGCACAGGATTCTGCTCTCCTCTCCCTAAATTCCAGTTCTGCATGACTTTTTGTTCCCATCTTCATTCCTCGATGCTTTTATACTCTAACGTGTGGTTCTCCTTTGCAATGCACCCTGATCCTATGATATGGATGTCATAAAACTACATTGAAGGGAGTAGTGCATGTGCCACTTTGCTGCTTACTCTGGATATTAGCATTGTCATAGTTCAGGGAAAGACAAGGACATGACTCCCACCAGGCCATCCACAATAGCCTATGGAAAAAAAAAAAAAAAAAAAAAACACCCAAAAAACCCCAAAACAAACAAACAAACAAGACATTTCATCTGTGCTCTGCAACTTGGAGATCAAGAGAACTACATCCTTCTTTCCAGAAGGGTATAACAAAAGGAATTCTGATCTAAGCTGTCCAGCGTATGCCAGTCACCAGAAGAGGATTACAAACAAGGCAAAATAAAGAGAACTTCACAGCACACACAAAGTACTGTCACAACTTGTTTATTTCTGGGTAACTAAGACCAAGTCCCTGTTCTGAGGGTTCAGTAATATTTAGGAAGCATCTTTCCTTAGTGGTGTGATTCAGTGGATTATGCCAAATTAACTAATCTCAGGAGTCTTTTTCTATTTCCATCTTTATGCAGCACTAATCTTCAACAATGTACTGGGCAAGTCACATCACTTCTCTGTGGCTCAGACCCTTCCCAGCCTTTTTCCTCCCCACAATCATTTTTTTCTTCTGTGAACGCACAGGATGGAGGTGGTATTACTGAGAAGAATCCTAAAACTCTGTATGAACACAATACAAAAATAAAAACAAATTGGCCTGGGTTAATGCTACCAGTTGTCCAGAGCTGAGAACATCTGTTCTGGAGTTGTAGAGAAGATGGCATTACAGGATTGTGTCCATGACCAGTGCCATCATAAGGTAAATACATAATTGTTTCCACAGGCTGAATATGCCAGAAGCTTTCTATTGTGTTCTTTTCTCCCTTCTAAGAAAGGTCCTTATCCCATAACACAGTTATTCTTCTCCTCAGGCTGCTTCCTGGGAGGGAAGGCCAATACTATTATTAAACCGAGGGTCAGAGGTACCACAATGATGCCCCTTCCCCCAAAAATCACCATTCACACATTTCACTTATTAAAGAATAAAGAGAAAAATGCATCTTTAGGCATATTTAGGAACTTAAAAACAAGAATATAGCAGAATTTCAGTCTAAAAAAGCATATATTACTTATAACATAGCTATTGCTTTTCTTTTCTGAAGTTCAGAATGCCTCTATCTTCCCCCAAGGCCAGCAAAGAACCTCCCCCCCTTCCACCTACATACTAGTTTCAGACAAATCACACAGAAACCAGTATTTTGATACACTGAACATTTATTGTCTTTCACAAGACAAAATGAAGTTTCCCCGGCCGATGAAAAGCCATCAGGATGACCATAAAGGGGATAGGGTGCAAAATTCCAGTGTACAGTATACGCAACAAATTACCTCCCTGACTGCCCTGGAAGAAGGATGATTGATCAATCTCACTGCAACTAAAAAACAGGATTATAAAATATTTACAGAAAAGAACAGTACAGAAAATAAAAACTGGACAACCATATGCGTATGAAATGCTGCCAACACTTTTCTGGCTCCTTAAAAACCTGTTCCGCTACCCTCACCAGAGCATTCAGGATGTGCAGGGATTCAGGCAGAGCATAGTCACCCCCCGCTCCCACGCCCCCCTCCCCAGAGTACCATTAACTCCCTCCAAGGAAGGGGGAGGACCCGAGGGGAAGCAGCATGACCTTCTTTAATTTCCTTCCACTAAGTGGACATGCTAGCTCTGAAAGGAGGTCCCCAGCCACACCTCATCTGCAGCGGTCTCTATTCAGAGCATACTGGCAAGTTAACCTGTGGGTAAGGAACTATTCCTTGTCATGCGAGCCCTTTCGTTGCTTGCAGGAGGACCTTTCCTTCTCCTCCCTCCGCGGTGGTCTGATCTGTGTTCAGAGGGGCAGGAAAGCTGACTAGGACTATGACAGGTCACAGGAGACCTTCCATTTCCTTCATGAAGGCTTCATACACATCATCCTTTGTCTGTACAGAGATAGGGGCAGATGATCCAGCCTTAGGGGCAGCTTTGGTTAATGGGAGAGCAGGCTCATCATCCTGTTTTCTCTGGGAGGCAGCTGAAGCCCCTTTATTCTCCCGGCGCACTCGCAAAGCAGTAGGCACAAAGCGAGTGATCTCTGCCTTGGGGTTAGTGATCTGTGGCTTGGCACTGATAGTGGCCGTGGCTTTCTTCTCAATGGTGGCTGCACTGGTGTCATCCGCCTTGGGGCGCTGAATCAAGCTGGGTGGGGCACTCAGTACCCCAGGATTTGGAATGGGAGCTGGTGGGAAGAGCCCAGGTGGGGCAGGTCCTAATGGAGGCACCAGAGGTGGCCGTAACATGCCTGGGCGAGGAGGAGGGATGCCTGTAAGAAGAAAAGAAAGCATGAGCTGACTCCACACCTGGGAGCCTTAAAATCTTTGGTCAAAAAAGTGCACAGGCTCAGAAAGCCAATAAGGAAAGACAAAACAAAAACACCCAACAAGATGCAGTAGCACTGACTTCAAAAAAAAAGAAAAAGAGTTTTCAACCCTGCACCAACTACCAGGTTGAAAATGCTGCTGCTCCTCAGACTTTGAAAGCTACAGGAGCCTGCCTATTGCTCCCTTTCAAATTTTGAAGTTATAATCTGAAAATAAAGTTTCTTGATGATCCATCCCACAGGAATTTCAGAGTCATCAGAAATGTATGACCATGCAGAAAAAAAAATATCCCTATCTCCAACTTAAGCGGAGCACCATTATAGTACCCCTGGGTTGCTCAGAACGGTTCAGCAGAGATTTAAACTCTGAAATTCCCTTTCTGAGGACAGATTTCTTGCTACCAAACTAAACGCAGCAGTATGGAATTACTTGTTATTACATAGACAAAGATACAGCACAATGCAGCCACAGAGACAGGAACAAAGGCAAACTAGTAACCCCTTATACTTCCTGGCTTGGTCACCACAGCAAAAACTGGGAAAATAAAGCAGGGAGATATTTGGCGCTGAAGCAAACAGAACAGTTTACCTGGCGGGGCAGGAGGGGGCAGGCGAGGAGGAGGCCCACGAGGAGGAGGACCTGGGGGCAGACCTGGGGGGGGCCCTGGGGGAGGGCCAGGTGGTCGCCCAGGCGGCGGGCCCGGTGGTAGAAGTCGAGGTAAAGGCCCACGCAGTCCTGGTAAGCCAGGAGGTCTCAGGAACGGAGGAGCTCCTGAAAGCATGCACACAAGTGAAGAGAAATTTAGCTCATGATTAAGAAAACCCCAAACTATCCTATTGGCTAATACTGAAGATCCTCAGCAGGAACTTGAAAGCTGCTCTAATGCTAGCCAGCTGCCAGATTAAACAGATCTTCTAAAAAAAAAAAAAAAAAAAGTCAAAAAAGAGGCAGCAGTTTTTAGACTGAAGAGTAAAGTTTCTTCATAGTAGTCAAGTATCTTCTCCCACCTGTAAAAAGGGCTCTTCCCCATGTAATGAAACAATAGCAGAGAATAGCTACTGAGGTGAGGTTGTTAGAATTCAAACAGCTAAAAGTGAAAGAATTTTTCACTCTGGGATTTAATTGAGAGCCGAGAGCCTGCATCCTTCAAACCAGAGTAAATCAAGTATTCACCTGGTGGAGGGCCAGGAGGAAGGCCGGTGGGTGGGCCTGGGGGCCTCAGCGGAGGGGCCGGCGGTGGTCCTAGCGGAGGTGGCCCAGGCATAGGAGGTGCCTGTATCTGAGTTGGAGGAACAGGCTGCGGAGGCGGTTGCTGCTGTTGTGTCTGGGAAGTTGCAGTAGATGACCCCGTCTCTGCAAGAGCTTCCTCACTGAGTTGTTGCTGCTGCTGTTGTTGTGATGTCTCTTCAGACTCTGAGTCCTCTTCCTCCTCCTCCTCCTCTTCTGAATATTCTTCCACTTCTCTCCCTTCTTCTGGTATCTCCTGACCTGGAAATGGAGACATACTTATAAAATCAGTCCACAGGTAGGATCTTTGTGAACCTCAGAGAAACTTGAGCATGCAAAACAAAAGAAAAAGAAAGATAAACCTTACTTCAAAGGAAAGAAAACTGATCACATCTTACTGTTAAACAGAAAATGAAAATTAAAAAAAAATTAAGGAAAAAAAAAAAAATCACAGTTCTAGATAGAGCTCTGCCACCAAGAGCTATGTGTTCCTGTGGGAGGTGAAACTTCTATACCAGCCTGAACTGCAGCTATTTGATCTATGGTTTGTGGGAGTTTGCGGGGGGGGGGGGGGGGGGGGAAACGGGAACATGACCTCAAAATAAATATAATCCCCATGTCCAAGGAACTCCAGTGTCTTTGAAAGATACTGGGGTGCCTTTCTAAAAAACAAAGAAACAAACAAAATTTTAACTCAATGGTTAACTTATTTCTGCAGAAGGATACTTTTAGGGGGTACAAATCCTTACAGGTTACAGGCTGAGCCCATAGACAATCTCACCCATCCTTTTTCACCAAGAGGTTCATATTTCGTTTGAGCAATTGTTTAAAAGCAAGATAAAATTAAGAAAAAAAAACCCTTAAGGTGCTACTACAACTTCAACTCTGCTATGCAAAACACACACTACTAGACTAAAAAACCCAACAAATGCCTAACCACAGCTTATACTCATAGCAGAGCTTACATTGTAGAGTAAAACATTTACTCTATAAAATAAAAACTGTGCCAACCAAGTAAACCTACCAGAGAAAGCTTAACTGGAAGCCTAATGGCATATCTCTATTTACATCCATCTCACTCACCTGCCATTCGTAACATCATGGCCTGGAGTGGAGTCAGTTCTTTCATGTTCTTTTTCTTTTTCCGTGACTTCCCAGGCATGTCTGCAAACCGTACACTATGACCTGGGGAAAGCAAAGCATGGACAAGGGTGGTGGGAGGTGGGAAGAAAATAACAAAAATCAGATAGATTTAAGTCTTCTACCTGGTATGGATAATGTGTCATTCTTACATAAGGATGCTCCTTACATAGGAGTTAACATTGGTGTTCCTGATTATTTGAAGTTTTGCTAACCTAGCATTCTCTATCAATTGGTCGCCCCCAAGGAATGAAGAAAAAAATACTATCCAAAGGCATTAGTAGTATGAAATTTAGTTGTCTTAGTTGTTCAAGTCACTAAAGAGTGAGTATATTTTACACTGAGGCTTAATTTTTGTAGGGTACCCTGCCAATCAATGCTTCAGGTGAAAAATGGCTACTGACCTTGCCAAGTTAACTTAACTGTTAAGAGAACAGGTTCATCTGAAAGACGCTTCACTTCTAGTTTCCTTCTGATCTGTTCACTAATAAAAATTCATCAGCTGGAATTTAGGTGAGTTAGAACAGAGCTAGCTGGCTAAACAAATTACTTTCCTCCCAGTCAGGAAAACAGACACAAACTCTGTTAAGTAGTGTTTCTCTTTTGAAAAATCAAACCCCAGTCTGTAATTTCCCATCATACCTGATTTCTTTTCTTCACCACCTTCCCTCTCCTTGTCATTATCACGATGCAGGAAGTCCTCGCCTTCGCTGTCTGCATCTGACCTATCGCTGTCACTATCATCGCTACTCTCATCATGCTTGTCTTGATCCATATCCTCAGGATAACCTTCATCTTCACTAGTACTGGACATATCATCATCATGCCCTCGCTGTCCTGCAGGAAGCAAAGTATTAGGAAATGCATAAACTCCAAATACACTGGTGTGAAAGACAGAGTATTTTGTATGTCTACAGTTAGAAAAATCCCCCTAGGAACAGCATGGGCATATTGTCAACCCTTTACTGTTTAGCACATATTCTTAAAGAGTATTTTGGAGCGTCTATTTATGAGATTTTCTATTAACCAGCTGGTTAATTTGCACAGCAAACAAGTGAAGGCAACTCCCATCTGCAACTCATTAGTTCACTTCTATTCAGCAATTGCTCACCATTTAAATACTTTGATGCTTTCTGGTATGCAATAAAGCTGATCCACCCATTCACAAAAGTTTCTAGGGATGATAAAGTACCTGTGTGAAAAGGAGGACCTAAGTTTTCGTAGCAAATGCATACCCAGGGTTGGCTGGGGTTTTTGTTGTGGTGGTTTTGGTTTGGGGTGGAGGGTTTTTTTGTTGTTTTTTTGGTTGTGGTTTGGGTTTGTTTTTTTTAAAGGAAGACTTCTCTGAAAATGGTTGGGTTTTTTTAAGGGATAATATGTACAATGTTTCAGCACTGTTAAGAGTACATGGGGAAAATATCCAATCTGTGCAACCTAACAAAAGAAAAATCTGAAAGTTGTAATTAGAAGTTTCAATATTTAAAAATATAGCTGATAACAAAATTCAAGATACTACAAAATACACCACAATCACCTCAGAAGTGCAATCAATCACTTAAGAAGAGTCCTTCAAGTAGTATTAACACCAATATTGCCCAGAGAATACCCTGTGTAGGGCACACTAAGTTCACGGCAGTACTATCCATAGCAAAACAGAGAGGTCAAGGAAAACCCCAGACAGTAATAGGCAAGTCCTTACCTGCTTCAGAACTGTAAGAAATCTCCTCTTCTCGCCTTCGAGGAGCCATCTCCAAGGTGAAACCCACTTTACGGCCATACATCTGTAGGACCTGAGGTGGGGGTGGCCCTGGAGGAGGTCCAGGGGGCTTCCTGCCTGGAGGTAAACGTGGAACACCAAGCCCAGGAGGAGGAAGTACAGAAATGGACCGAACTGGTGGTCTGGAAAAAATAAATGAAATGAGAAATGTAGGAACACAAACAAATGAAAGCAAACATGCACTTAATAGAATTCTTTAGCCTTCTCTCATCATTGCTTAGACAGCAGCCTTCTAAAAAGAAACGTGAACATTTATAAAGTATAGATTTGTCCCAAGGAGTTTACAACCTCATAGAAAGACATGATTGCTGAAGATGAGAGAAAAGCAAGCTTCTCAGAAAGCAACTTAAGAGAAGACTGGAAAAAAAAACCAAAACAAACAACAACAACAAGGATTGAATCCCACCACAGAAGCAGAATGAAGAAATCACAAAGTTGGTGAAAACAGAAGGCTATTCAGAAAGAAATAGAAAGAACTAGCACTAGAATGAGAAACCTGATAAACAAATAAACTAGAAGCTTAAACTGAACATACTAGCAAGACAAAAAAAACATATATGGTAATTTAAGGGGCATTTATGTTCAGAGTGGCAGGGCTTTAGGTTTTACTGATATGCAGAAAGACAAATGCTAGAAGACATAGTGTATTACTCAAAGCAATTTAAGCAACAACCTGCAATAGTAGGGAAAGATTAAAAAGAGCTTTGGTTAAAAGAAAGTACAATTCACTCACACAGAATTCCTGATTTCTGCTGGTCAATATTACTTCTGCTTCAACCCCCAGCTGCTCCCCAGTAATAAGAGTGCTCCTTTTTTACTCCCCCTCCAAGTTTCTTTTTCTGCTTACCCATAGGCTGATGTCTTCTTGAGGATAGAAGGTGGTTGGGCCCCTGGAAGGGGAATATCCTGTATGAGGATGTTGGAGGGAGCATGCGGCATATCTGGCAAGGGGATACTTTCCACTTCCACATGCTGAGCATTCTGGGGAAAAAAAGAAAAAGAGAGAATGGGTTACTCCCACAGAAGCTACTGCACAACCTCATTACCCTTCAGAGTACACAACACATGGGACCTGCCATCACTTGCCAAAGGTGTCTGTTCTTAGGGCATGTTATCTTGCAGCAGTCCATGAAAGACATTTGGGAAACCGTCAACAGTAAAAGCTTTCAACGCAAAACAAAGCACATGCAGCACACCCATTAGAGGCTTTAGTATTTCAGTCAAAACCCAGTCAGGTTTCCACCTCCCTTTAGACCTTCAGTCTCCAAAGCGAAGAGGCTGCAGAGAAGTATGCCTGTATTTTTTAAGTATCCAGAAGGCACAAATCACAGGCTGCTGCATATTCCAAAGGAAAAAAAAAAAAAAATCTTAGAGATACTTGCACTAGGGCAACATTATGTTCTCCAATATGGTAGGGAAGAATGTCAAAGAAAACTCTTTAAAGGACTGCCAAAGGATTCTCATTATTTCCAGCAACAGATTTAGCAGAAATTCACAGAAATATCAACTGCACACCCACAGGCTCGCTCTCTCTTTAATAAAGAAAATAAATTCTGATATTGCTGATTTGCAACATAAATTTCCCTTTCCCCTCTAATTTCACGTTGCATGAAATCAGTTTATCAGAGACAAATACAGACTTGACAACGCCCATGCTGTCCTTGCTGAAATGCTGTAACTGGAGATACTATGCAAATTAATATAAGTACTTAACACGGACCACATAACATATACGCTGGTCTCTTATGAAGTTCCTTCGTAACAGTCACACCTAATGAGCAGAGTATACACTATCACAGTTACAAGCCTGAAATAATAAGCATTACCTTGACAGCATCAAAATACTGGCTGAGTTGTGATCTCTTCTGCTCATACTCCACTTCCAACTTGCGCAGTTCTTTATAGATGTCAGGATTCTCCTTCTCGTATAGCCGCAAAATACGCTCAAAAGTCTCACGGAGTTTTTTGCGTTTATCTTTTAGCACTTTCTCATTAAGTTGTGGCTGCTGTACTGGGTTAAACTCTAAGCCAAGACAGCAAAAAAACAACTCAAAAATGTGTAAGTTACTCTACTGCATAACTGTGATGAATAAAACAACTTCAAAGCAAACAACTTCCAATCCCCATTTTCAGGAAGTCCTCAGCCTTATGACAATCCCCTCCTTCAACTCTAAGTTACTACCAGGCACACTACTCATTCTTTTTATCAGCCATCTTCTTGGAAGAAAAAAAAAAAAAAAAGTCATCTTTGATGGCACCACATCACCTCAAATCATAATCAATCCCCGATTAGTCATAGAATCTCCCCTTCTAACAGGAAAGGAAAAAGGTTACTTTATTTCAGGCTCACAGTTGTCCCTTAAAACTATGTTATGCGTCTACATAAACCACTGCCTAAGTCCAACACCTGGTACCTCTCACTCACCCATCTCATCCAGTTTTTCCATGTCCCGGATAATCTGCTTTGGATCTTTCATCTTCAGTACAGCTGCCCGTACCATCATTCGTTGCTTTTTGTTCTAAGATCAGAGATCAAGCAGATCAGAGAAGTGTCACAGGAGAAAGAGATAGAACATTTGTACCAAATACAAATACCCCTTCTCAATATTCCCAGTCTGCAGAAAAAAATATGCCTCAAAATGCCCTGCAAATATTAACCATGGCACAAATCAGCAGCAAAGGTAATTAAAACTTCTGGGAATTTTAATTCCACTATCTTGATATTTACAAATGCTTCTGTAATTCATTCACTCCAATTAAGACAAATACAATCAATAAGGTAACCAACTGACAAAAGGTATACTTTTTAGTGTATTTTACTGTATGCGAATCTGGGGTGGTTTATTTGTTTTATTTATTGGGTGGTTTGGGTTTTTTTCATTCCCAAGTACTTACAATAATGTTTCAAAAAGCTGTAATCTTCACAAGTTAAAAAATAGCAGATGATGAGATATAGTTACTCAAAACAAGATTTCTGTGTTTTCGTAAACTACTTGTTTGGACTGTTATTTTCCAAAGTCAATCTTAGGATATCAACCAAATACATTACAATCACAGACACGATACATAGTACAGGAAATGCCAAGTAAACGTTCCCGATCTCTTTATTTACCTTCTTTAGTTCTCTTTTCCGAGCTTCCTTCCCTAGAGAGGAGGGGAAAAGAGAAAATAACAACTTGAAAGAGACAATCAAATCTATGAGGAACCTTTCCTTCATCAAGACTAGCAGTTTCTCAACAGTTCACTCATTTTACAAAGACTATGTCTTGGTTTCAGCTGGGATAGAGTTAATTTTCCTCCTAGCAGCTGGTAGAGTGTTATGCTTTGGATTCAGTATGAGAAGAATGTTGATAACACACTGATGTTTTCAGCTGCTGCTAAGTAATGTTTATACCAGGTCAAGGATTTTTCAGCTTCTCATGCCCAGCCAGCAAGAAGGCTGGAGGGGCACAAGTTGGGAGGGGACACAGCCAGGACAGCTGACCCAAACTGGCCAAAGGGGTATTCCATATCATATGACATCATGCCCAGTATATAAACTGGGGACAGTTGGCCTGGGGGGGGTGGATCGCTGCTCGGGAACTAACTGGGCATCGGTCGGCGAGTGGTGAGCAATTGCATTGTGCATCACCTGTTTTGTATATTCCAATCCTTTTATTATTATTATTTTGTTATTGTTGTTATTATCATTATTAGTTTCTTCCTTTCTGTTCTATTAAACTATTATCTCAACCCATGAGTTTTAGCTTTTTCCTTCTGATTCTCTCCCCCATCCCACTGGGTGGGGGGGGAAGTGAGTGAGCGGCTGCATGGTGCTTAGTTGCTGGCTGGGGTTAAACCACGACATACTGTAACTGCTTAACTCATCTCTGCAGTGAGAGAGAAATACAGCATGGAATAGATTGCTATTTCATGTGTGTTATACAGAAAGAAAAGGAGCTATAGCAGTCTTTGAGAAGCAGGGGTGTTTCTATACAAAAAGAACAACAGGCAGCAAAAGTCGTAGTGATAAGTGCGGTCATGAAAGGATTGCTGCCCAGAAGCTGAAATGGAGTCAACAACAGACAACACACTTTAAAAATATGTAGGCTTTGAGTATGCATCTGAAATAAAGCATATTCACCATGGAAGTCTGGGTTTTCTTTATCTGCTTAGCATTGGTAACATCTGGCGTGTTACCAAAAGGGAAAAACAGTTAGACAACTCCCTCATCTAACCAGAGCATCTGCAAAATTTGACATGTTCCTCAAATTCTAGCCTTGGACAGATGAACTACGTCCCAAGAAGCAGCTTGCAGTTTAGCCAACAGCTAAGTATAAATACCTCTGAACGCTGATAATTACAGTAAAAACTAAGAGTGAAATACTCAGAGAAGCAACGGCATGAAAGCAAGCAGCCTCCTCAGAAGTTTTTATAGCAGCCAAAACTGAGATAATATTTTTCAAGTTAGGGAAACTCAGTTCCAATTCACAAGTGAAGATCTTATCCTCCGAGAAAACTTTTTATCTGCTTCCTTAGGATCGCCCCCCCCCCCCCCCCCCCCCCCCCCCCCTTCCCATCTGCTTAGCTTTTACAGATACTTACGGGCCTGATCTGTGGGATTCATAAACTTCCCACTCTTGGTGGATGATGTGGATCTCCGCCCCATTTTGACCTTTTTCCTTCTGCCTCAGAAAAAAAAACTTTAAAAAAAGAGGAAGAGACCTGGAAAAGATGACATGGTTTCAGGTCCCAGGCACCAGTAGCTCGAGTATGCTTATTTCTCTTCTCTGTATCAGCAGGTTCCTCCCTCGAAAACCTCAAATACTTCTAAGGTCCTCAAATCCTACTACAGGCTCAGGCATTCACATAAAAAAATCACCCTTCTTTAACTAAGTACTACTATTTAACTAAGTACCTACTTACTACTACTTTACTAAGTACCTGTTTTAAACTAATCAACTAGTTTGTTATTATTGACTCCAAGACAAACCAAGAAGCTTCTTGCTTACACTATGGAGGGGCACAGGAGAGGGAGAAATACACATTCAATTTTTCTAAGAGCGTATCAGAGCCATTCTACCTTTTCATTTACTCTCCTAAGAGCTCTTCAATTTTTACCTTTCCTTTCTGTTTCAAATGTTTCCCACAAATTTCCTCCCTTCTTCAGGCTTTTAAGCTGCCCTTGATTTCTCTCCCCAGCACCCACTGTATCCTTCAGCAATTGTTCTGCACAAATCCATGTCTTCTTCTCCTCCCCACAGACCACTGCCCTTATGCTCTCTACCTCCACCAGTATTATTGCAAGCTGTGTTACGATGACCGGAGAAGAAAAGGTTACTCTGGAAAGGATTATTTCCCATCTTTAAACATCTCTTCAATTTACAGACAACTACATAAGTGTCCAAACTACAGCCACGGATGGTGCCTCTCACAGCTTTAATCTCCCCCCACCTCCACCCCTACTTCCCTGCCAAAACACCACCCGAAAAACCAACCCAAAACCAAAAAACACAGCACACAACACATTCCACCACAAAATCTAAAACATCCTCTGAAATTTGGGAGGGGATGGGATGCAGCTGTCTAGTCACCGTGCTGCATCCACGGAGATCATGACCAAAGTGAAAGTATTCACAAGTCCAGTCCGAAGTTCTCTGCAGCCTCACTGCAGTCGCCATGTGCATCCTTGTTCCCTAATTACAGAAAATGCCACTTTTAAACCACTAAGGTGTTCCTACCAAGCTCCAAGCACTGGCCATATTCAATGCACTGACTAGTAAAAATCTACAGAGCCCTGCTCATGGCTCACACTATCAGGTTACACTCACAGTCGGCCTGCTGTTTGCAAGAGCACCCCATGATTTGTGATTGCCAATAACATACCTCCTACTTACAAGATTACACTGATTATTATTTTTTTTGCAAGACACTATCATTTCTGTAGGCGGGAAGCTCACCAAACAGAGGCAGGAGTTGCATTTCCATCCCGTATTTCCCACATTTCTAACATTTAAAGGGTAAAGGGAAAGAGAAGAAACTTCTGAAACCTCGATCCCAAATCCTCTTAGGACACAACGCAAAGCGCTTCAACGCAACAAGTTAACAGCCGAAGGAGGAAAAACCCCAACCGTTAAATTTACGATATTTTGGTCGCTGGGGAACGAGGCAGAAAGCCTCCCCTCCTCCCCCGACGGAGGAAGAGAAGGCGGGAGCGCAAAACCGCCTTCCTCCTCCTCTTCCTCCCAGGCCAGCACCGTCCCGCTCCTCTCACCCCTCCGCCCGGCCGGGGCGGCCCGGCTCCCTCCCGCCGCAGCGGCCTCTATAACCCCGGCGCTCCTCGCCGCCGCGGCCCCGCCGCCATCTTGAGCCGGGACCGAGTGGCGCGCCGCCGTAAAGCGCGACCGCCGCGCGGAACCGCGCTCCGGAAGCGGGCACTTCAGCGCAGCCCGCTCCGACTCTATGATTCCGCTGCTCTTCTCTCTCCCGCTCGGAGGCTCCCCCTCTATGGTCAGTAGGCCCTGGTCTGCCTCTGCGGCCAGAGTGCCTCTCCCAGCAGAATTCCCCGGGCAGCTGAGGAACCAGGATAAAGACAGATGGAACGTCCCCTTGGATACCTGTGAGGGCAGGCCACACAGCGTGGGTGCAGGCTTAAAGAATTGTCGGGCGAGGGGAGGTGCGGGAGGGGCGTTTTTCTGCGCACAAATGACAAATTCACCTTACACCGTTTCCTGCACAAATTTCTAACGACGCTGCAGAGGAGTAATGGCACGTTACAGCCTGTTTGATGGGTTCAAAGTCAGTCACTAACATTACAGAACCTGCCCCTCTATTTGCTAAAGCAAAATTGATCTTTTACAAAAGTTGTGTTGTTAAAATTAACACAGTTATTGACTGCAAACAAAAATGCTATCCAAAGCTTAACAGATCTTTTTGTGATAAAACTTTTCTTGTTTGCTAAAATTTTCCTTTTTAAGCTTGAATCTTAGGCAGAATATACTGCAAGTTGATAAATATATCTGACATGTACTAGACAAGGAATCAGCCCAATCTCTCTGCTCATTTCTTCTAACTGAATGTATTTCCTCATTCTGACAAATGTGCTTTTTTCCTTAGGTGTTTGCACTTTCCAAGTATTAAAGACCCTTAAAAAGTTCTCATTTCTTCTGCATGAAGAATGTGTCACCAGCATCGGATACTGTGTCTCTTTAAAGCATTACTCAAAATAACATTAGTTTCAGGAGGCAGGTTTGTGGGGACCCAATATACCTGGTGAGTGGAATGATTAGCTTATCCTCAGAGAGTAGAATATTTTTTTTTAAATACCAAGAACCCCAGGGATCCACAATTATTTCTCTCTTCTGAAAAGTTGACATACTTTTCTGTAGTATGCCTACTTTTCTACGGACGTTTTTCTCCCACCTGGGAGCAGAGGTGGTCCGATCTCTGAGCAGGATTTGTAGAGCCCCTGCCCGGGGCGAACATGCCATGCAACAGGATCTCGTTCCCTTTTTTTCAAATAATGGAGAATTAGCTGGCAAACTGGGAACTTTATGAAGGATCGCGGCAGGGTGGGTAAAAGCACGGCTGTAAGTCACACATTGCATTAACTGCACAAAATCCAAGTTAGCAGACGGCCAGCCCGGGAGCGTCCTCAGAGCCAGGGCTTCGGGATCTCCCGGCGCCTGAGGGAGTCTTGCAAACCATGTACACAGCCAAGTCCTCCCCGCCTTGGCCTGCTCTTTTATATTGTTTTTGTAACTGGAAAGAACGTGCTGCAGGGCAGATTTTGGTTGCAACCATCCAGTGTTTCTACCCCAGGTTTCAAAGCAGCTTAGGCTGTTAGAGTTTCTTTTCTCCTTTGAGGCTGTTCTTGTTGGGAACACCCATATTCTACAGTTTTAATCCTTTGCCCAGAACAAGCGCCTGAGCAGAGGGAGAGTGCTGGAGGGGGTGTGATGGGGACGCCATGGCCATGCGCGTCCCTGCCGTGTGCCGTGTCACCGGCGAGGGGGACAGCCCAGGCTGTGCAGGTTGGCCGCTCCTCCACGGGGCATGGGGTCTTCTGCCATGACAATATCGGGCTCGGTGGGGACAGCGGTACGGCCGCAGCCTGAGCGGCTTCCTCCCAGCGACGTCTGCTGACTGGGAGCTGGCGTGCGGGTCAACGGACCTCTCACATTTTTCACTTGGTGCTTCATTTTTCGCTTGTCACGCCAAGGGTCAGCACCGAGGAGTCCAGAGGAGCAGCATCAGCAGGGCTGGTTAACCCCAGACCGGTTATGGCATCTCTGGAGGACCAAGTGTAAGACTGGTCAGAGGGCTAGAGAGAGCAGGAATTATTTCTTATTTTGTGGGACAGAGTTTCAGTTACCAAGAGGGAACAGAGCTAAGCTGTTTCTGCTCCACCGGCTGCTCTCCCTCACATCTAGCTGGTCAGTTCAAGTATATAACTGTCAGTAATGCAAGTAAATCCTATTGATTTTCTTATCACTAGAGTTGGGGGGAAAGAGTTTGGGAAGGTCCCAAGCTGATCGTCAGGTTTTCCACCTCCAAACCACCTTGTTATGGCTAGATGTTGCCATACCCCTCTATGAGGTCATGGGTGGCCCTCCGAGCTGGCTGGGGATGCTGGCCCGGACCCAGTGACCTCACAACCTCCTGCCTCATAAGCAGAGGGACGGGCTGCCGCCCACCAGCCTCCAACACCTTCAACATCTTCCAAGGTCTCATGGGCACGAGGACACGCGCCAGCCCTGCTGTTGCGGGCAAGCCAGCTTTCCTTTAAGCCCACCAGGAACAAGGATCTATCAAGAGGTGACTAGAAATTGTATATCTTTATGTTCCTCATTGCGTATCCCACTTCCCCTGACACTGCTTCGAATTTGCTTTCGAGAAAATGTGGACAAACTGCCTGAAAAGTGCAGGAGATTTGGTTTTATTTGTCTCCGCTATTCTCGTACAGCAGTGATTGGCAATCTCGCAAAGATATGTACCAAGCTGGTGTTTTTTCTTCCTAAATTAGAATGTACATTTGCACGTAGAAAGTCAGCAGGAGCCAGGGACTCCTGCCTCTCCAACACTCAAATATTGCTGTTCTGCTGATTGACAGTCTCTTGCCTCTAGACAAGTACCTCTAAACTGAGTGCCGCTCGTGTCAGGAGACGGGAGATGTCATGTCTTAGAGAAATGGTGTCTCAGGTCACCATGTCACCCACCACAATACCTTGTGTGAGGCAAGGCAGTGCTTTTTGCTTCCTCTGAATTGCCTCTCCTGACCCACATCGCCCAGTCTACGGCTTGTGCTGGTCCCAGTTTGTCAGTCCCTGGCACCCATCCATGCTCCTGAACCCTGGGCTTTCTCCTCGACGGCTGGCAGAACTGCTTGAGAGCTAGCAGCTTCATTGCCATCTAGTGGCTTTTGAGCACAAAAGCAAAGAGGAGTCAGAAAAGATGATTAAAGGTGGGAACAGCAGGGGAAAAAAAAGATCCCAAAACAAAACCCAGAATGGAAGGGTTATGAAGCCAATGGAGAGCTTCCCCGTTGTAATCTTGCCCATCTTTTTACTTTCACAGGCATGACCTAGTTAATATAATCATCTAATATTGCTAATATTGAATATTAATAAACAAGTATGAATTCGAGTATGCTTTTAGTATGGGGAAAACTGGTACTAAAAAAGGAACCTATACACAATCCTACTAGATTAGTCTATCATGGAGATAAAAAAGGATTTATAAATTGCATCTGTAATGAAGATTTTAATCTTTTTCATGATTTGGTTTAAGATTGGTTTTTCAGACAGAACAAAAAAAAGCAAACCAAGTACAGGAAAGAGAGGTCTTACAATATTCAGGTACTTTTTTATTAATTCTTAATTATATTTTTTTTTCAAATATCAAAGCAAAAAAAGCAAACCACAGCAAATCAGAGCAAGAGACTGCAAATCATGTTCTTGCCTCCAGCTTTGTTTTTAAAATCTCAAAAATAAGGACATTTGGCAACATATTGTGAAGTGCAGAATCTGAGAAGGCTCTTGGCAGTCCCACATTGGTGGGACTGGGTAAAGCACGTGAAAATAAATTTAGTGCATTAATAGGGCTGTAATCCTACAGACACTTGTACGTGTGTATAATCCCATTTCAATCAACAGAGCAGCAACTCTGCACAGAAATATTTACCTGTGGGTTGACAGGAGCAGGGCATTACTGAGCGTAAGAGGTTATTCACAGCTAGGCATGCCTGGAACACTGTTGCTGGTTTCTCTCGGTTTGGGGGCAAGGTTATGTGTGTTTGCCTGTAGGCCCATGCTTCTCTTAACTGCTAATCTATTGGGATTAGAGTTTATTTAAAGAAGATCTCCGGCTGGCTCCTTAGGCAGGGGTGGGACAGGAAATATCAGTTAAATATGCTTCAGCTAGACCTTGTAAGCAGTTCAATGAACAGGGAATTCAGCCTACCAGATTTAGCACTAATCCACACTAAGAGTTTCGCATCCACAGCTGTCCTGGTGAGCCCTCCAAGGGGCTTGATGAAATTGTTTCCTCGCATCGTGCTGCCATCTTTGATATAGAAACACAGTAAGAGAAAAATCACACCTTCTCACCACTACAGCTCCAGGAACGGATATTATTGTCACTAGTACGAATTACAGTTCAAGGTTATCTACAATGCATTTCAGAAAATAACTGGAGGAAAGATGTGAAGTATTTGAAGCGTTGCCTCCCAGAAGCACCTATAAGCCTGTTACCTATTAATATATTTCAGTGCCAATTCCCTGACCTGTCACATCTCTTGCTCTGCTGCCACTAATAAGAAAAAAAGCCATCAGTAGTTCATTTACCATAACAAATCAAGAAGGATTCTGCAGGTGTAGCTGCTGCAGCCACTGTCACAGCAGGAGGGAGAACTCCGACTTCATTCACTGAACCTGCTGTCTCACCAAAGAAGTCACTTCTCGTATGGCACGCTGGTACTTTTCTGAGGCTGCTTTAAACTCAGCCAGGTGCTTCTCGTAGCTTCTCACAGCTGCCAGAAGCTGGTTCCTCTCCACGGCTCCCAGGATGGCGTGGAGGATCATTTCAATGCCAAGCCCGAGAATAGTGATGCTGATTCCCCCGAGAACAGATGCCCCGATCTGCGCAAGGAGACTGACGAGCTTGCTCACAGTGAGAGTTATAAGATTGGAGCCAAGAAGTTTGATAGCTACCATCCCAGCTGTTGAAGTCGCTTCTCCAAGAACAATGGAAAAAACTTTATGAGCTATTGCAATTTTCTCCAACTCGGGCTCTTTGATGTCATACAGCTTCTGGTACAGCACAGGCTCCAGCTTTTCCTTCATGTCACTATCAATCTTCTGTACCTGATGCTGAATCTCACTCATCGCTTGAATGATAATGTCACAGTTCTCCTTGACAGTGCTGTGCTCTCTCATCTGAATGTGGGTAATGGTACAGCCCAGGTGTTCATTCAGCACTCCAGCCAGCTCATTTGTTGCACGGAAATTTGTGGACATGCAATCAAGCAATTCCTGGTGCAGATGGATCAGTTCTTGCCTTCTCTTGGGGTTATCTGGGTAAAGGAGGTCACTCAGCGCCATTCTTCAGAAATAGGCTACTTCAAGAGAGAAAAGAAATCTCTTACTCGTTCAACATCCATAACCCTAGCCCTTAAAGAGCAGTGAATTGTCCTTTGTCTCTGCCTCACTGGTTCTTTTTACACTCAGCAAGCCAAATCCCAGGGCATAGCTTCTAAATGTAGAAATCTTACTTCTTGTTTTCAATCTTTAGCCAAATGATTGGAAAAGGACCTTATGAGACATTGGACATACTCAGAGCAACAAAAACAGCTAACAAATATGTAATCAGCAGATTGGTAAAATGAGCATGGATCATTCTTCACCTGGGAAACTGAAGACTGTAGAAGCTGAACTAGTACACTAAACATTGGAACAATTTTATCTAATCAGCAAAATCTAAAATAAGCTGTGGAAATGAAAGGCCTATTCTAGACACACTTTTGTATCAGCCTATTTTCTTCAGTTAGTGACATGTAATTTTTCAACAACTATGATGACTGGTGGAGTGGGCACAGTCTGTAACTCCATAAGGGTGTTTTATACCAGTGTAGCTTATTTCTCCTCACATTCGAGAGAAAATGTTACTAATATTGGCAATCTGTGCTTATACTAATAAACTCACCCTTGGGAATTCACAGAGAATAGTAAAATTATCTATAACAAACCCATCCTAACCTATACCACCTTACACACACCTCCCACTGTGTTTCCTTCCCTGATGTTTAGCCCCCGTTCCCTCATTGTTTATTCACCTCCCTAACACTGTAATCGATTCCCCATTGTTTTTTTCACTCGTGAACACCAAGCAGCTGCCAACAGCCCCGTGATGTTCAGCATCCCGTGTAAGCACCGTGAGGTGCAGCAGGATGTCTGTGATGGCAGACTGCCTGCCTTGGAGCAGCACGCACCAGCTTGGAACCCCATTCCCTCCACAGCCAGGCTGTCCTGCATGGAGGTAATATCGGGAGGTGCTCACCAAGCTCCTAGGACACGACTGAACAGAATCTGGCCTTCCCTTACCACTGTACAGACCAGAGCATGAAATTTAAGTTCTGTGATTCCTCCACCCCAAACACTCCTGTCTAATCCTTGTGGTCACAATTCTTCTCTGAGCTGTTGCGGGTTTGCCAGCAAAAGGGCATATTTAATACATTTTTCTTCATCACCTGCATGTCAACATACAGAGTCCAAAGTAACTGAATTACCAGTGTTCATGGAGTTACTCCTTATCACTAAGCTTCTGTAACCAACTCTGTGCCACTTCGCTTTAACACATCACCAGCTGCAAAGTAAAAATGCTTTAGCACGATTTTGACTTAAATGCATATGTCTTTCTTTGCAACAGGGGCAAACTATGAATGAGTAGGATGACTAGTTTCTTTGTTGGTACTTACGTGTTCTTGGCCCTCTTATTGCAAATCTGGGCCACATTTATGCAGTGCTTTGCATTTTTCCAAGATAAACCTCTTCTTGCTGTTGGTGGCTACATATCAGAGTTACAGCTACTAAAAGTTATGTGTAGGGGACTGGCTAGATTTTCCTTCTTAAAAAGATAACTTTGTGTCATTTTGGTCCTTTGTAGTTCTTGCATTATCTGCTAATTGCAAACCATCTGACACTGACCCAGCTGTATTTTACTAAACACACCCTCCCCACAAGATCCCTGTAGTAAAACAGAATGATTTCAACAGTCCCCTAGCCAACTTTTAGTCTCAGTGTTGAAATACAAGCCAGTCTGAAGAGAATTGTCCCCACAGTATTTTGCACAGTACTGTACAATTCTTTCAGCAACTTACCTTGTAGCTCTGTCAAGAGAATAAACTCTTTAACACATCTTTCTTTTTCTTCAAGCTGGAGGGAGCAAAGTACATATACAGTAAAGGTTTATGATTTTCAGGAAACATAAAGCCATGTCAATGCAAGGTATGATTTCATATCAGTCCTGCCTCAGGGATGTTGCTGGCTTGCTCTCTGAGTCAGTGTGATATTAGATCATTTCTACTCCAGTGATGTTTTGTTGAAAGGTCATTTGGTTTTCCTTATTTGTAGAAACTGAGAATACAAAATGTTCTAACAGGAATAGCACTTCAACAAACATTTTATGTACTAGACAGGTGTGCAGGAGACTTTTAGCATCTCTTCGTTATGCATGAGTATTTCAGCTTCCTAGAACTGCTCTAGATTTTATGTCTCTTAATGCTAAAATTATCTTTTACTCTTCACATTAACACTTTTGCTAGTTTTTACATTTGCTTTCTAGAGTTAGGCAGGCCACATATATTTCCATATTTCTGACTATTTCTCCAGCTCCAGGGAGACTTTCTCCAGAAGTTTTTCTAATGAAACATTTAGACTGCCTACCTGATTTTGTCCGAGTGCTTCTGCAATCAGCTGAAATGTGTATGGGACAGTGATTTCATCCTCTTTTCCCTGTGTTCCTCTGGTGGTTTCCAGCAGCATGTGATGAGTTGGGGATCCAGAGGCTGGCCTTCAGCTGGGTCCTGTTGCCTGCCTGCTCATCATTAATTCCATTGTGTGATGTTTACCCAAATTCATCTTATTTTCTTCCTCCTTTCGCCTTCCTTCCAATTCTAACAGATTTCAGTTTATTTAATGCTAGTTCCCAATGGTTAGATCCTCCAAAGGCCTTCTGTTCCTGGAGGTAATAGGTACAGCACGAATCCTCCTGCCTACATCAAAGGTACCATCACAGGTACCTACAGCCATGGCTGAAAGGGAATGGTATTACTTGCCATTCTCAGAACTTAAAACATGTTGGACAGCACCGTTCATTCATACAGATACAGGATTAGGGTTTGTACTGGTATTTATAAATTTCTATTGTTTATAAGTATAAACAATAAACACCAAGGCTTGCAGCTATTCCTTGAAATACTGAATTGTTGCCACGACTGGTTTTGTACATCTGTGAATTATGAAAGAAAAGTTGAACAGTCCTGCACAAATAGAAAAACAAATACCAGACAGTGAAAACGGGCTTTGTCTGTCCCAGCAAGACAAGCTTGTACTTCTGCTTTCCTCCAAGCTAGACATCTTTCATGCTCTGATCCTCAGAAAGAAGGACCTGCTGCCCACCAGGCTCTGGTCATGAATGCTGCCTCCCCAGTAGAAAATGGATGAGTTCTCAGGTGAAAGTAAAAGATCAAGCATAAGATGATGTTTTGGTTTGTGTGGCGGGGTTTTGGTAGCGGAAGAGGGGCTGCAGGGCGGCTCCTGCGAGAAGCTGCTAGAAGCTTCCCCGGCTCCTAGTTGGACCTGCCTCTGGCCATGGCTGACCCAATCAGCAATGGTGGTAATGCCTGTGGGATAACATCTTTAAGAAGGGGAACCTGCAGTGGGGGAGGAGGTTGGAATGCGAGAGAAACCCCTCTGCAGATACCGAGGTCAGTGAGGAAGGAGGGGAGGAGGAGGGGATGCCCCCGCAGCCCGCGGCGAGGCGGCAGGCTGTCCCCCCCAGCCCACGGAGGGGAGCGGGGGAGCGGATGCCCACCCGCAGCCCGGGGAGAGAGGAGCCCATGCCGGAGCAGGGGGTGGATGCCCCACAAGATGGCCGCCGCTCCCTGGGGAAGCCCACGCTGGAGCAGGCTGTGCCTGAAGGACTGCAGCCCGCGGAAGGGACCCATGTTGGAGCAGTTCGGGAAGAACTGTCTCCCTTGGGAGGGACCCCACACGGGAGCAGGGGACAAGTGCGGAGTCCTCCTCCCCCTGAGGAGGAAGGAGCTGCAGAGACAAGGTGGGATGAACTGACCCCAGCCCCGTTCCCCGTCCCCCTGCGCTGCTGGAGGGGAGGAGGAGGAGACAACTGGGAGTGGAGCCTGGGAAGGAGGGAGGGGTGGGGGGAAGGCGTTCTAAGGTTTGGTTTTGCTTCCTAATATCTTTATTTTTATTTGATTGGTAGTAAATTAAATTGATTTTGTTTCCTCCCCAAGTTGAGTCGGTCTTTTGCCCGTGACCATCATTGGTGAGTGATCCCTCCCTGTCCTGGTCTTGACCCATGAGCGTTTCTTTATATTTTCTCCTCCTCATCCCGAGGGGGAGGAGTAAGCGAGTGGCTTTGTGGTGCTTTGTTGCCGGCTGGGCTGAAACCAGGACAAATGAGTACTCTGCAATTGCCAGTTTGTTTTCCCCTGAAAGCTGACCTATTGTATTTGAGCCAGAGTACCAAACTCTCCTTGTTTTCAGAGCTGTAGGCATGAGATGAGCTGAGAGAGAACACTAATGATTTAACTATTACATTTCTGCAGTCCTCAATTAGTTGTGACTCCTGTTCTTAACTGAGAATACCATGTAGTCCTAAAATACTTCTTCCAATATTGGACTGAATTGAATTGATCAGGCTGGCAGCTGCCTCTGTGTCACATTCTGTAGGCTGGAAACTGATTTCAGGTCTTCAAGGTTTGCAGTGTATGCAAATTCTTCCCTTCTAGAGTCTCTATTATTTGGAACATGACAGAAGATCATTTAAACAATACACAAGCAGTTTTGTTCCTACTTTACTCTGGGTCATTGTTTGCTAGGACTCCCATAAATTTACCAATAAACACCAAAAGGCAAGAATGATTCACTTACACTACTTCCACTGCTCCTCAGATTGCATGCTGAAGGTCAGAGTCATACTTCCTGCAGTAAAGATACTTGCAGCTGTTTACACCATATTGTGCTGGCCTGCTTGGTAAGATCCCTGCAAAGGCTGACAAAGAGCTTTTTCTGTGTTTTCTTCTAACTAATGGCTTGGGGAGGGTGGGTCAGGTGGGTTGATAATTTGTGATATTAGTTTCGGAAATGTAACATTCTAGCTGAACATATATCCAGTTTTATTCCCCTGTGTCTTCTGGTTTTCCTCTGTTTCAGAGTCGGACCCCACTCCAGAAATGTTAGCCCTCCTTGGTTTTACGAGCGATAAAGAAAGGCTGGTCAGGGCCTGCCAGAATCTGCATGACTTAGTGTACATCTATGTCTCTTCAATCAACACAATATTCCGACTCCTCAATGCTCATCTTGGCACCAACTTCTCCATAATGTCAGTAAAAGAAAACTTCAGCATTAAAGAGAACCTGCAGCTCCTGGTCAGTGCTTTGAAGGAGATGCAAGCCACTGTGGAAGCAAAAGACAAAGATGTACAGGAAATCATCGGCCACAGTTTGCATGCTAAGTTTGCTGGTCCCATCACCTCCCTGCAGGACAAGATCACTGCAGTAAAGGAACTTCATGAGAATTATAAGGGAGTTGTAGAACGTATCATGGGTGTACTCATTGCAGTGATGTTGAAACATGACAATTTCCCTGACACAGTAGAGTCTGCTGTTCATCAGTTATTGAGTTCACCTGCCTTATCCCTCCAAGTATCAGAACTTCTCATGGACTATACTGATATTGTGAAGACGCTGCAACAAAATGAGACACCAAGTACCACAGAAAGCAGCCCCTCCTCGAGTGGAACATCACAACATCTCGGGCTTCCCTTCCTACCCTCCCCCTCTTCACTTCTTGTTTTCCTACAGGCTATCCTTGGAGGACACAGATCCACAGATAAAAGCCTGAAAATAGCAGCTGACTACTTAGAGGAGGCTTTCAGGGTGCTGAAGCCACCTTGTGAAGCATTCCAAACCTTTGTTAAAATGGTTGAAGCCTGCATTCCAGTGACAACAGATAAGCAGCAAGAGACATAAATGTGCTGATGTGTCAGAAATTCATCTTGATTCCTGTAATTCTTACATAGGAAAGAGTTTAAGCATGTTTGAACACACGTACAAGGGTATCTGCAGCGGCTGCTTCTGGTCTTTTCATCTTTTTTGAAATCTGGGCTTAGTATCTTTGAACATTTAGGGGGCAAAATCAAGTTCTGACAACTTATTATTTGAAATCACTAGTAAACCAAGAGCAACAAGAAAGTAACATGAAATATAGATAGAAAACAAGCCAATAGTAAAATAGCTCTGTATTAAATCTGATTTAGCTGCCTGGGCAAGCATGTCTCAGGATTTCAGGGACAGTAGTTCAGTTTCACAGAACATGGTACTAGGTTTTAGATGATTAGAGGGTGGCCTCTGCCATTACAGATGCCTAAATCTGACACACAAGAGGCTGAGCCTCAAAATCCTCCATTTAATCTGCTAAAACCTGAATACATCCAAATTCCTGAAATGCCTACCTTTCTAATGTTAATATTTCTCATGTGCCTAAATTCTGCATTCCTTGCCACAGGATTTCCAAAGGAATTGCAGCACGAAGCTTATATGGAGTTGCTCCGAGAGTCGAGCAGTTCACACAGGTGCTTTTGGCTGTCCTTACTTCTGACTAACCAGCTGATGGGCAACTTGTGCAGTCCTCATGTTCACATCTTGTTCGGATAGATTACTTGTAGCTTACTGTTTTGCACGGGGGATGGTGAGTACAGAACTCCGGCGTCCTGCCAAGATCTGAAAGCTGGGGTCATTTGTGAAATGTGTCAGTGAGTTTCAGTTCAATGATTTGGTGACTCCACTGCAAAGTTAAATCGCCATGGCTGGTCTCCTTGGACCAGGGAGATAACCACTCTGACTGTAGCCTCAGCCCAGGGCTGCTGTCAGTGGGGGTGAGGGACGGGGGGCGGAGAAGCAAGCAAGGCATGTTGGAAAGGGGAATTGCAGGCAGAAAATGTTTCTTATCATTTCCACACTTACTTTTTGGAGATGGGAGAACCTCATAGCTGTTCTGGCTTGAGTCTCTAAGGCTCCAGAACTGCTAAATGAACTCATAAAGTGAAGGGAGTCTATAGCTAAATCAGAAGTTCCAGTTCCAATTTGCGATGTTCATTCAGCCTCCAGCATTAGACATTGAGGACCAGCGAAGTAGAAAGGCAGGTAAATGAATTTCAGTCACATCCAACACCCAAGAAGACAGCAGTGGGCCCCACAGGCCCTCCTTCGTTTCAGTGTGAAATGACCGGCATGTATTCATCAGCCACTAGAGTACTGTTATGAACACAGGATCTGCCTGACTTTTTCAGAAAAAATGCTGAAGTCAGACATGAAAGCTGAAGACAGGCCTGACAAGTGTTGTGATCCTCTGCTGCTAAGTTCATGTCTCAAGGCAGCTTCATGCTTCTGTCCCCCGTGTGCGAGATGCTGACAGTCAGGTTGAGATGAGAGCTATGGCTTTGGCGCAGGAGGTCATGCAGCAGGGAAAGACCACCGTGCAGCAGCCACTGACTTTACTGTCCCCTGGGACCCTGCGCTCAAAGGAGATATGCAAGGCTGCACACTTACCCGCTCAACTTTACCACCATGGTGCCTTTTGCATCCCACAGACAGACTCTTTCTCACTAAAAATAAAGCTACTAAGAGATCTGTAAAGAGTCCAAAGTCCGTGTGTGTCTTTCCTGAATGCCTAAGGGAAAAGCTGCCTACAGTGAAGGGTGTCACTGCTCTGCTCGTCAGAAAGGCTGTGGATAACTGCCCTCCTACCCGAATGGGTCCAGGGAACGCGGGTTTTGATAAATGAGGGTGAATGTTCCAATCTCAGCTGGAGAGGTGCAGCTGAAAGCAAAGGGAGGATTGAAACTTCTGTAACAACAGGAACTGCAGAGACTCATTTCCTGTGAATTATTCTTGCCCCCTGTTCCAGTGTATATATCTAGATGCAGCCAGAGAATCAGTTGTTGTGGGCCAAGCACAGGAAAACTCCAACTATGCTAGGAAGAACAGCAGAGGCGAGGGCAGTGGAACCGCTGTTCTTGCTTCTTGAAGCTGAAAGAAAGTCAAGAGAGCAGTCATTTAGACCCCTTTTGGCTGCCTAAAACTTCCTGCACTTGCTAACACAGCCTTTGCCCAGAAGAGCCATTTCCTCAAATCTACCTACTACTTTGGCTCAGGTCCAGGCACAAACTCTCACTCCTGAATGATTATTTTGTGCTTAAAGGTTGCATTGACACACTATTGCTCAGAGAGACGAAAGCAAGAGTCTGTACTGGTGGTGGACTCACAGAAGGACAGGGCTGTGGAACAGGCTCAGTGAGGTCTTCAGTACAACAGTTATCTATGGAGCCAGGACACTACAGTGTGTGCTTTGCCAAAGGATACCTTTCATCCCTTCTGCCACAGGAGAGAACACACAACTAAAGCAGCAATAGTTTTGTCCTGAGGCTTGAAGCGTGGCAGCCTTGCAAGCCACCAGAATAAATATCTGAATTCAAGCTGCCTTCAGATCTCATCTGCCCTTGCTGTAGGAATGCTGGGGACCCACATGCCTGTGTCCTGTGAGCTCCTTGCAGTGGCAGATGGGATAAATGGAAGCTGCAAAGAATCCTGAGACCTGCTATGTATCAGGGGGATTCATCTTCAGGCAGCTGTGGGGTGCTCCCAGGTTTCATGACAAACGGATGAAAACTGGTTCATGTGCCTCTTGCAGGCAAACACGGCGGGGAAGCTACAGATTTGGCCGTGAGTGTTGCCCCATGTAGGTGCAGCTGGGGAGGGCTGCTTGGGGTGCTTGGGACCGGACTGTTCTGCACCCCCCGCATGAAGGGCTGTGTACAATACCTGCCACCAGCTGGCACTGGTACTTGCTGTAGTTCCCCACGGAATGCAGATGCAGCCGGTTACCGTGCTGTGTCCGAAAGAAGCTTTTGACGAGGAATATCTCGTAAGGGGGAATGAGGACTTCCTTCTCGGATGTGTAGTAAGAAAAGCCTTGCACAGCTGCTCCCAGGCAAGTTGTCACCGTGAACAAAGTTTCATTCCCAAACTTCCGAGCTTCGTTCCAGAGGTGGGAGGTGGAAGTGAAACGGCCAAATCGCACCCTGCTACCTACCATGGCCTCGATATATAAATCTTTCACACCCCTGTGCACCCGGTAGCACTTACGTTTCCCCATGCTCTCCTTGCTGCTCTGCCATTGCTTCATTATCTGGATAGCAGTCGTCAGGTAAAAGTGAAAATATTTGAAACTGAAGTTGTGTCTGTAGTACTCTGGAGAGCTTCCTGCTGTAGAAGTGGCCCAGTTCAGCTGAGAGTGCAGGGAAGAGTTCATGGTGTAAGCCATGAGGACTATGGCATGGCTCTCATGCATCTCCCTCAGGAGACCTACAGGGCTTTTTAATAAAGCTTCCTGAGCCTTCTTCCAGAGACTCAAATAGTACTTGTTAGCAGCTATTTCCTTCTGGAAATAGTCTCCTCGCTCCAGTTCTTCCATCACCTGCTCTCTGCAGCCCAGGTACTGGTCATCAAAGGAATGCAGAGCCATATCCATCATGAGGTGGGACACAGCCTGCAACATAAAAGCAAAGGAAGATTAGCATCAGAAGTGTGGACGTTTTGTGTACCTCTACGGATGCAAACCAGGTTTTTCCCTACCCTCTTCTTGCTCCTTTGTCATTACTGGCAGAGCAAGCACAGCAGGTAGGCATCTTTGACAAGCCCTTCCTGAGCAACCTCAGGTTATTGTCCAAGCCGCACCTGAGGCATATGCCAGCTAGGATACCAGAGTTCTTCTTTTATGTGGATTAGTAGCTTTAAAATCTTCAGGAGAGTTTGCTCTTCAGAGGGTGGGGGTCTAAAGTCTGTAGGACAGACCCATGGTCCATTTATTTCAATATTGTGCTCATGATTAATAAGTGGTTTTGAAGAGAGAAAGAATAAGCAAAACAATGTGCGCAAGGCAGTGCAGCCTGAACACATCTCATGGGTGAATTTCTTCCTCCTGTCTCGTCATACCTCTTGGACATGTTTTAGCTCCAGAGAATGGTGTTCAGTACTACAATACAGTAGCACTGTGCCAAAACTTTTGTTCACCCAGTTTGTCTTACTGAGGCCAGCAGGGCTTGTCATGTAAATAAACATTAAACACATGAGTAGGGATTTACACAAATGGGTGCTGTAACAGGAAAATAACCTCTAATATACCCTATCTATGAAATGGCACACTGTGTTGGTTTTGGCTGGGATAAAGTTAATTTTCTTCATAGTAGCTGCTATGGGGCTGTGTTTTGGATTTGTGCTGGAAACAGTGTTGGTAATTAAGGGATGTTTTCGTTACTGCTGAGCAGTGCTTACAGAGTCAAAGCCTTTTCTGCTTCTCACCCCACCCCAGCAGCGAGCAGGCTGGGGGGGCACAAGGAGTTGGGGGGGGGGACACAGCCGGGACAGCTGACCCTGACTGACCCAAGGGATATTCCAGACCATAGGACGTCATGCTCAGCATATAGACCAGGGGGAAGGAGGAGGAAGGGGTGACGTTTGGAGTTACAGCATTTGTCTTCCCAAGTCACCATTTCACATGATGGAGCCCTGCTTTCCTGGGGATGGCTGAACACCTGCCTGCCCATGGGAAGTGGGGAATGAATTCCTTGGTTTCCTTTTTTGCATGTGCAGCTTTTGCTTTACCTCTGAAACTGTCTTTATCTCAACCCATGAGTTTTCTCACTTTTACCCTTCTGATTCTCTCCCCCATCCCACCGTGGGGGGGAGTGAGTGAGCGGCTGTGTGGGGCTTAGTTGCTGGCTGGGGTTAAACCATGACACACACTAATTATCTGTTTCTAGCATTTCTAATTAATAAAAACCTTGTGTAATAAGACCTAAGAAACACTCTGAGTTATGACATTGTTCTTTCTGCTTTTTGATCTCCTAGTAGACTAGTCAAGTACTGTAGTCAGTTGATAGTTGAATTCTACATGTAGATATTCTCATCATCTCAAATATTCGACCTAGATGCATAACCAAATTGATACCTTTATTAACCCCTCAAGTTATACTGGCCCATAAACTATACAGAGATGCAGTTTATTTCTCCTTGATACCATACTTTCTTTGAGACAAAGCTAAAAGGCAGCCACAAATAATAGAGCAATATTGTCACTGTCTATCCAAAAACACACTGCTTTTGTCAGAGCCTCGACTGAGACTGGCTGGAAAAGGAGAGGGACAATTCCGTGAGACGTACTCACAAACACACCCTGGGAAACTACCTGGCTCCAAACAAGAGGAAATTTCCAACCAAGTAGTTAAAAGGAATTAGGACAGGTAAGCAGTTGAACAGAGCAACTGAAAGCAGAAGAGTTTAAGCTGAACCCAGAGCTCCTTAAAGAATATGTTTCAAATGCAAAAAAAAAAAAAAAAAAAAAGATTTTCTCAGTAGGATGAGCAATTTCACATAAAGAACAATGTTTACCCCTTCTTACCAGCCTTTGCATGGAGATCAGCAACAGAAGGTTGGCCAGCAGCACTGGCATCCTAGAGTCCACCCAAGACACTGTAAAGAACATTGAGCTCAAGTAGAGGTCATTTACATCTGTTTCTTTCCCTTTTTTCTTGAACTGGAAAATTCTGCTGTTTGTAATTTGCACTCAGGTTTTGCTGACAATTCTTCAACCAAAGAACATTCACCAGATTCTTACAGCAATTCAGAGGTTGTTAATCAAACCAAACAGACAGTTTACTGGTAGAAGTGTGCCCACAATCCATAAGGAAGGGTCTGATTGCACCAACTCCCACTGGTTAGATGTGCTTCACCTTGATCATTCTCTTAATTCCAAGGTATCTGGTGTTCTTCTTGCAAAGGGAGGAAAACCCTGGCTCGGAGAAGTCTAAGGCGGTTCTCTCCTGAGGAGTGATGTGTCAGGATGAGGTAGAGAGCACTCCCTGGTCAAGAGCTTAAAAAGCCCTTTTAAAGAAGTGCAGAATTCTGATAAAGCCAACACAGAAATGCCGGGTAGGTTGGGATCCCATCTGGAAGCAGAGATAACATAACTGTCCTCCTCCTTACCTCCCTCTGGTTTCTAATAATCTGCTGCCAATCCTACCCTTCCACCACTGCAGAGTGGCACTGTTGTTGAACTGTTTACATTGGGTATACCCAGAATGAGTGTGTCAATACAGATTCTATACTGAGACTAACCCCTCTCTAGTAGCTGCTTTCCAGTCACCCTTCCAAATAACGGCAGTGAGTGACTCACCTGCAAAGCCCCATGGCCTCTGATAACTCTTCTGCATGGAAAAAAGAGCCAAGACAAGGTGTCAGGGCCTTGTTCTGACTACAGAGAAGTGAAATCCATTTTCCATTGCCTGCCAGTGATAGGCTGGGTGAGTGGGGGCACCTGCAGACACGGTGCGGTTCCCTGAGAAAAGAGATGTTTGTGCAGCTGCTTGGATTCTGTGGACAGAGAGCATTTGCCAAGTATTGCTGAAACAGAGTGAGAGATGACATAAAGGTCTCATACGGGGTTGCTTTCAAAGTGATCTATTACACTGCACCAGCTAATGCTGCTGACAGTATCTGCAGCCACTGGTGATATGAGATGATGGCATGAAGGCTGATGCAAAGTGATAAATGCAGCCTATCTACTTCTTCTTGGAATTGCTCTATCATCTTGGGCTGTATTTCAGAAAGTGGTTCTTCAGCCTCTAAAAGTGACTCCACAGAAGGGCTTGTGACTTTATTCAAAGGCATCTCCTCTCCTGTTTGTGTAGAGATAAAAAGGAGCTGAACTGTGACAGGCTCCAATGGGAACTTGACGATCGGAATGACCAGCCCCACTAAAATGTCAATTCAGCTGCATATAATCCAGTTGCAGATTATGTCCCTATTTTTCCCTTCTGGCCTCTTAGTGTGTGTTGTAGGATGAAGTGAACGAGGAAGAAAGCCCACTCGCTTGCATTTGCATTTTCAAATGCTTGAAAAGCAACGTAGTGTATTATTAAATGCAATAAATGCAATGGCCATAAGATGGCAGCAGAGGATTTTTAGTGGTACTTGAATCTGCATTAACCGGGCGAAAATCGAGTCCCCCCATTCCCGCATTCAGTTTGTAACGTGTTTTGTGCGCTCAGATCCCCAGAGGTCGTACTGACTTCAGCCCATATAGAGATCTGGTAGCCCAGAGCAGATGACATGATTGAGATCTTCGTGTGCAACTTCCCTGAAAAAAATATTTACTGAAAGGAAGAGAAAAATATAAAACTAACAGAAAGATGCAAATATAGACAGGAAGCTTCATTTTCTTTTTGTACCAACAATTCTATACAAGAACAACAACAACCTCCCCAACTTGTTAGTATGGCAGATATTAGGATTTCACTAATCTCTCTAGTATTTTTTCCAGCAAAACTTTCACTGCTTTCAATGAGCCCTTTGTTCATTTTTATTAGATGGCTTTCAGAGAGAATTTTGCTGGGAGCAGTGAAGCCCCATCAGTTTATGCCAATAGGAGAACCCGTCCCAGGTATTTGACCAAGACAAGCAGACGTACTTATTGACTGTCTTCTCCTTGGCCAAGGTCAGCATAGCCAGTGAAAGTCACAGCAGCTTGCCAAAAGAGAGATGCTCACGCTCACACTGGCATCTCTGGGCTTAACCCGTGTCCTTACTTGAGGGCAAGGTCCTTCAGAGCACTGCTGGACTCAGTAGGTGGTGAATCGGGCAGAGCCTTGCCCTCCTCTCCCTCACTGCCACCACGTACTGGGACCCTGACCTGAGTTTCAGTGTGGTCACTTCGGATTCACACTGGGGCACAGGAGGGGAGACGGAAGCCTCACGCACCTGGATCCTGCTCTTCAAGGTTCATAAAAGCAGGCTTTATCTTCTAGGCATCCCTAACCGCAGATGGAGGTTGTACAGAGGAACAGAGAGAAGCAGCACACCAACCTGCTTTACATAAGCAGTATTTATTGCAGTCAGCAGCTGGGGATGGCTGCACCAGCTTACATGCAACCAGAGAGATCCATTCCGTCTTTCTCAGTCTCCTGAAGGTCAGCAGTGCCTGTCCTTGGAGACAGGATCTGCCATCTACCTCTCAGGGAAGAAAAGCTGACAGAGCACATCAAGGGAGGTGCTGCAGAAAGTTGCTAAGGTATAATATTCATAGCCGAGGACAGAATGAAGTAGTGCAGAGGGAAGAGGATATGTATATAAATACACACACTTTTATATATATATATATATAAGCATGAAAGAGATACAAGTTGCCTTGAATAAACCAAATGCTAATCCAACTTCAATCCATCCTTGAGCTGATTTTGGTTTTATTTCATGAAGTTTCTTGCTTTTTTTCTTTGCTTTTTTTGGAGCTGTTTAGACACTTTTACCTTCAAGTATCAGTGCTAAAGCATTGGAGAGGAACAGATTATTTTTTTTTGTTCTGCTTGGGTATATTCAGTTTCACCAGAAACCAATTTTAATAAAAACAAGACATTTCCAAGGTACTTTTTACAGACACTCACTGAGTGCAGCATACAAATGGAAGAGCTCATCTAAAAGGACTCCTTAAACACACCTTTGGGGATTTATCTATTGTTGCTATACAGGCAAATTTTGTGACAGAATAATCAGCAGAGTGTTCCAGAACCTGATTTCTGGCTATGTAATAGTATTTCCACAATTCTGTCTTTACAAAATGATCCTACACTGGCACATATTTAGGGTAATTATACTGCCTGAAAATACCGAACTTTCCCAGTCACTGTACCAGGAGGCAGCCGTTCTGCCTTCTTCCCAGTGAGCATCCCAGGATCAGATCCATCACTTTTACACATGTTGTGATATTCTCATTCTATAATACTGCTGCATTTTGTACAAGAGGACAAAAGGTCCTGTTACGTTTCTAAGGCATGCGTTGATTTTCTTGAGAGGAATCACAGTCTTTTCACCTACTGCATCATGGGGATTCAAATGGAAGGAGGTAAGACAGATTCTTCTCAACCATTTCTAGTGAAACTCAAAATACCACAAAAGATGACTGAAGAGAAACATTTTTGATGAAAGGAAGAAAGCTAACGCAAGCTCAATAAGTAGGATAATTATTGCCTTGGTGTTCCAGCTGGCTAGGGAGACAACGGAAGGAGGGCCCAGTCTAGATGTTTTTCTTCCCTCCTTCCCACCCACAACCTCCTTTCTCTTGGGGGGTTGAGAGTGGTCCCAAGCAAAATGAACCCAGTGACCGTCCCATGTTCAGTATCTCCTAAAGAAATGGTTGTAGGCCATGGAAAATCCTATTTGGTCAGAGAGATAGTCACAGGGCGGGTAGTTTTCACAACGCTCATGCATCTGCTCCATTGGATTTTTGTAATACTCAAGGTACCTGGAGGAGACAGAGAGAGAGATGCCATTCTGCAGATTCAGTTGATGCAGCTGGAGAGGTTTCACACCTGTGACACTAACCTGAGAAGAGTGATTCCCCAGGGTGCCCCAACAGGGGACTTCTCATGGTAAGTTAAACATCTACTTACGTGGGCATAGACTGCTTGATTAATGCTGGGAAAAGTTGGAACTGAACCCACCTTAAAACAATTGCTCTTGAGGTTTTATCATCAAAGGAGACCACAGAAGCAGTTAGTGCTGGGGGGTTTTGTCCCCAATCTCATTCCCCAACTACCCAATAACCTTTGTTGTTGTTGTTGTTGTTGTTGTTGTTATTTATTACCTGGTTACCTTTATTTGCTCCCAGTTTCTGCTCACTCTCCTGCTAGCTACTACTTTGCTTTAGCTTAAGGAGTTTCCTCTAATCATCTTCACTTCTGTTGTTGACCACAACACTGTCCCCACTCAGCTTTTCTTTTGTCAGGCTAAGCAAGCCCAAGTCTTTTAGTCCCAGCTATATGCTCTGGATGCCCTTCTCAGCTCCTGTCCCAGGTTTGGTTAATCTTCCCTGATGATTGTACGCAATGCTACAGGAGAAGTCCCACTGGTATCTCATTAATTGTTATTTTATTTCTGTATGGTATATACCCTGCAGCACCCTTAATTCCATTTGTTGCATCCATATTTCCAGACTAACCTTACCTCACAGTCAAATAATACCCTGAGCTGTCTGCCTACCTCAGTCCTTCCTGATTAATGCTTATAGCAGAAGCTACTTTTATGATGCCTCACCTGTAAGGGGGTAGTCAGTACAGCCAGTAGAGTTGCTACTACTGACTTTCATCTTGGTTTTAATCACTGCAGGTTTCAACATCACCCAGTTCCTCTGCTACAATATTCTGATCCTCTCTTCCAGAGATGGGGCATCCCAATCTTCTATTATCTAAAAAACAATATTACCCTTCCAGTACAAAGGTGGACTGAGCAAAAATTCTTTTTGCACAGGCCTACCTGAGATGGTGGCTTAACAACCTCTTCCAGGAAATATATGAAGAACATTCTTGGATGACCTCAAATTTCTCCAAATGTTTATAGCTAGGATTTCTGCAAATCTTTGTGCCTAGGATTTCTGCACAAATGGATGTAGGATCTACAGCTTCAGAAAGAACAGCCATTCTGACCGATCCTCATCCCCGCAACAGAGCTCTGCTTCCTTTCTAGGGAGCCAGAGGCAGTGACCAAGGCTCTGTGATGCTCATTATCCTGGAAACTGGCTCTGATGACCCTGCAGGTTAGAGCGGCTTCTAACTGGATTCCTGGTGTCCCCATGGCTAGCCCAGACAGCTAGTACTGTCCTCCTGCCTGGGAGGAATATCAGAGTCCAGCTATGAGCTCTCAAAAGGATATTTATGAAAAAAGAACTATTTGTCTATCAATAAGTGTCTCCTACAGCCTTTTTGCTTCAACAGGTGAAGGTAGTAACATAGATGTGCAACAAATTAATGCCTTGTCATACCCTCTTGCCTTCCCACCCCCTCTTCAGAACAGGTCCAGAGTCCAGCTCTCAGCCTGACTCGTGAGTTGTTACCGTTCATACAGGCTGGATCTCTTCTGCCTCTTCACAAAGGCATTGGCAACTTCTTTTGTAATCTTGATGCCTACCAAGAGAGGACACAGCAGGTTAGAGCTGCAGGGCCATGGTCTGTGAAAAACAGAGACCAGTCTAGCCTCTGAAAATGGACAGTCTACTCTCTCTACTAGCAGATAGCTGCCACGAACCATCCTAACTGCCCATTCATCTCTCCTCACCCCACTGTCCACTCAAGCCCATCAGCTGGACTCCCTCCTCACTCCAACCTGCACATCTACATGGAGCAAGGGCTCTTCAGGCATAAGGTCCATTCCCTTATCGCACAGCATGATGAGTCCACAGCAAATGTGCAGAAGACAAAGTCATGACAGCATAAAATATGAATAAGGAGAAAATGAAGGGAATGGCACCCTCTCTCCCCAGCCTGCTTAATTTCAGATTCTTGGCTTCCTCTCTATATTTTGACTTAGATGGAGGGTGATGTGGGATACTGGACACCAGGCCTTAAAATTGCCTCTAATGAACCATAAGCAACAGGCGGTACATGAAAATACTGATGCTCACATGTGCAGAGTTCCATGAAAGGTGAAGGGTATAAAATAATGCCAGTAAACATCTCCCAGGGAGACATACACCCAGGAGGTGCGAAGATCCTGGTGTTCAGGACTTGGAGAACATGAGAGGTCTTTCTGCCATGACAGCATCAGCCCCTGCTCTTCACTAACACACCGTGTCAGCGCAGTTGCTTAATTGCTCCCTTGGATTTGTGGTTGTGCAAACACTGGGGTGCTGTGGAGAACCCCACAAACAGCAGGCAGAGCCACTTCGCTCCCCAGCCCCGGCCACGGTTTGGCACCGGCTCGCTCCGTGGGACGGACCCGCACCAGCCGAGGTGTGCGCAGATGCCGGCACACCAGCGACACGGGCAGCGGTGCACCAATACGCGTTTCGGCAGGGAAACTGGCTAACTGGTGCTGGCGCTGGGGGAAAAGAAGTTTCTAAGACTGCTGTCTGTGGGGAGACAGTGGGGTTAGTGCCCTTCCCTCGTCATCGTGGGGTGTCTGACTGCGTTTCTGTTTGGCAGGTGAGAGGTGCCCCCTCTCTAGCAAGCTGGGGTTTAGTCTGGATCAAAATACCAGCTACACAGAAACTGCCAGTTAATGAGCTGTCAGAAATCAGCACCTTTCCCTGAACGCTCTTTTTTTTTTTCTCTTTCCCAATCTGTGTTTGTATTGGCTCACTGGAGAAATACCAGCTTTCATGCTCCTCAGCAGCAATGTTATCCTTTAAGGTGTGAGAAGGAGAGACAGGGGAGAACGAAAGCGATTTTCCATACAGATTTCTGCCAGGATCAGCTTCCTGCAAAAGCTGTGGACATCCCGAAGTGTGTACAAATCCCCATGTCGCAGGTGACCTGACAGGAGGGACTGCAGCCCTCAGGAGCAGCCAAGGCAGGCGCTTGCTTTCAGGCTCTCCAGGTTGTGGGATTTGGCAGGGATGTCACGTCCTGTTGCCGTGCGGCACCAAAACCTTTCTGCTCTGTGATCCTGCACATCAGGATCACTGCTCAGCAGACACAAAAGCCCCGTGCCTGGAGGCCCTGGGGCACATTCTGCTCTCTGAACAGCCTGGGGACACAGCAGTCACTTTGGATATCTTTCTGAGGCCAGCTCAGAGGAGCGAGGAGACCGGCCGTGTTGCTCCACACAAACCACCCTGTTTCACAGAGGGGCAGATGCATCCAGCTGCCAATAACCCGCAGGGCTCACGTCTTGCCTGGAGGCTGCTGGAGGGTTGTGGAGGTGCAGGCTATGCCCGCAGCGATGCGAGGCTGCGGGCGCGGGGACGCTGACCTCCCCGGTGCCTCCGACCCCCGTGGCTGTGAAAAGCAGCCCCCCTGTTTGCGGCAGGTGCTCCTGCACCTCGGGGACTGCAGCGCCGAGGGAGCAAAAAGGAGCAGCGTGGTTCGCGTTCACTCCTCGAACGTGGCAAAGCGGAGAAAGGAGGCGGATGGGGAAGAATGGAGCTGAGCGTCAGTCACTGCGATATACTCACTGGCAGCGCTGGGAGATCCTGAGGGGTCTTTGGGATCTGGAAGACAGACAGAAAGGAGCTAGGTTGAGACCTCCTGTGCTCCACTCTGTAACTGAATCCCTCTGCCTGCTGCCTGCGTCCAGCTCCCCACACTTTCCCAGAAAGTCTGTGCCTCCCAAAAAGCATTTTATTAACACCCACCATTTAGATAGACTTCACCACCACAGCAGAATTCGCCCATTATGCCTGGGCTTGTTTCATTTCAACTTCTTCTGAGCCAGATAAGACAATAAACATATAACCACTGTGGAAGGTGGAGGAAGACCTTCCTCCTTCTCCCTCCCCACCCTTGCTAAGAGCAGGGACAGCTAGAGCTATGGGACCATTTGAGCAAAATCCCAAATTCGGAGAGAACCTGAAGACAGCTGAGCATCTCCTCTATCTTTGGAAAGTGAGGTTTCCTTAGCTCTGGGGAGAAATCACAACCCATTGATAGGGAAGAGAAATAGGGCCAAAAATTAGGAACTACTCTGTCCTCTCAGCTTTCTGCCTCAGGGTTGAGGTACCTGGCTCACCAGCCCTCCCAAGAGGAATTTACACACTGTATTTCTGTGTGTATTTCTTAATCCTTAATGCTCCCTGCACACACCCAAGGAAAGCGTCCTCTAAGAGAAATGGAAGGTCTCCTAATCTTGGCTCTCCCACACTGCCTTATTTCACGTTTTTTTCTTCCACTCTTTCACAATACTTTTTTCAACAGTGTCAGTTCCACCCAAGTCACCAGATATTTGGCATAAGTGTATTTATGGGCAGAGAGAGGACTCCAGAGACCAAAAAAATAGAAACCGTGCTTAAACAAAACTTTGTGTGAAAAGGGTTGTGTGTCATTCTATTTTTAAGCAATGTATTCCTTGGATTTAAAAAAAAAAAAAAAAAAAAGGAAAATTAGAAGTTACTCCAAGGCCATTAAGCATTCTAAAACATAATAATGACTCAAAAAAAAGCAGATATATACTCAAGAGTGAAAAAGTAAGAAAAAGGCTGACAGAAGGAAAACGCTGATTAAACAAAACATATTTGACAGTACTGAATCATGACATACCTGATGCCAAGGACTGAACGAAATTTAACTCTGAATGAGATAATACAGGAAAAGACAGAGCTCTCTCCTGCTCAGCCTCTCTTTTGCTGCTGTAAAGGGAAAATACTTGTTTTTCTGATCTTCCCCCCTTTCCCTCTCTCTTCATCAGTGATGGAGCTGCCACTACATGATGTCTTCATCATGAAGTCACCATTGCTAAATCACCTTCAAATGTGATGTGCTCTTATTTCAGTGGGACAACTCCCTTTTTTTTAACCACCAACAGAAGGCTTTTTTTTCTCCAGAAGTTCTCCACATCCCACATTTCCCTGCAGGTGAAGGCTTGACTGGGTGCCTGTCTCTGTGATCCTACAGCCCTCCAGGGCTGGCAGGCACAAAATCCCTCTCCCTGTGGTCGACACAAATCTGCCTGCAGCTCAACCCTCTTACTCAAAAGTGAGCACCCAGCATACCTTTGCCAGTTCACCTAAATGCTAAACCGGTTCAATACTTAAACATATTAAAATATTTGAATTCTCTGCTGCAATTCAGTGGTGCAGTTGGGGGGGGGTTGAGCAGAGGAAGCAAGTGCCCAGCAAGACACGAGGCAGTTTATCCCCACTGTGCAATGACCAGCGGTGTTCCTCCTCCTCCCGAATCTCTGCGTCTCTCCCAGACTGAAGCTGCAGGGCTGAGCACCGCTCCCGCGAGCCGTCCCGGGAAGACGTCCCCTTACCTTTCTCACAAGAGCAGAGAGCTGCCAGGACCAGAGTCACCATCAGCGGTGCCAGCAGACTCCTCATGTCTTCTTTGGCTGCCCTGGTCTCCCTAACCTCAGAGCTTTCCTGGAGGTTACTGAAGTTCTCCAGAGCTTGCTTTTGGGCAGTGGTTTATATCCTGTGATCGCCTGGAGAGATCGGGGCTCTGGCTTGTGTTCCTGTGTCTGAGATCCAAAACAAAGCCCGTCCTTTGGGCCAGGAGATGTTGGGTCCTGGCAGGCATTTTCACATCCATCTCAGGACTTGTGGCATTTCCAGATTTTACATGAGGTTTTGAATGGGAGTGGTGAAGAAAAACAACTGGAATAAAAAATCAGTTTTATTATGAACATGAAAGTCATTCAGCTTCGTGCCAGAAAGCCAGGGGAGAGACTAGCACACCCTGAAGCAGAGCAGCTCTTTTCGTGTGATGGGGCTCTCTCGTGAGGAAAAGCAAATGAGACAGAACCCAGTGGTGACCCTTCCCCCCCCACCCCAACCTAACACATTGCCCTGAAGGTAAAGAAACCTATAAAACAATTTGCATAGGGCAAACACACAGTAGATTTTTGCTTCAGGCAGTTTCACCAAACCACTTTGGAGAGCTGAGATTTTTATACTGTTGGGAACTTTGGTAGTTAGTTTGAGGGAGGGTCTTTCTTCTTTCTTCCTGGAAATATTCCTAGTTTGGAAGCTTTAGTTTGGCTTCTACTGTCAAAAAATCAAATAAACCTTTGGACTCCAAAAGTGTTTTATTCTTCAGGACTTGGGTGGCATACTTGGTATGTCAAGAGCCCTGCATGGGCTCTGCTACAGCCTATCGACCAACAACCCCACACTCCCCAAACCCACCATCCAAGTTCCCAAAGCCATGTCCCACAAAGAGCATATGGGTCACATCTTCCTCCACCTCACATCCAGTGCTCGTCAGCCCCACGTGCAGGGGACATGTCCAAGGGTTACAAATTAAAGCTTAAAAGGGCAGTCAGAGCCATTAGGGATTTTGCCAATCCTTAGAAACACTGTCTTTTAGCTTAGAGAAATTTCAGCATTTGGGGGGGGGAGTTTAACTTTTCTACAGTCCAGGAAAGACTGAATATACATACTAACAACTTCCAGCAAAAGTATCTTAAACAGCAACAATTTAAAAACAAATAAATATCTAAAAATAATAGGTATTCTAGGAAAGTTATGCTTCCAAAAGAATACTTGAAAGAATATAAATACACAATTCTAGTAATCCAAACAGTTTTACTTCTCTTCCTAACTTTTCTCAAGCTTTCTAACCAGCACGTAGTCTCTTAAACATGTTTGGTTATTGCTTACACTAACGAAATCCCACACAAATCTCTGGTATTATTTATTATTTATATTGGTAAACTGGAGGTTGGCATCGCGAGATATTTCTGGACACAGACCCAGACAGCACTAGCCCTGTGCCTTCTGTTTTGGTAATGTCACAGTGTCAAGTCAAACCCAGACACTGCAGACTTGTTGACTTTAGGGTATGAAAGTTTTGCTGCGGTTGGTGATCATAAGATCCACCTACTTGGGAACATGCAGAACAAGCGTGGGTGCAAATATACCTAATCCCTATGGCTATTTTCCCTTAAACCCATTTATCTCTGACTTTTTCCTTTGGACAAAACTTCAGCAACTGTCAAGGTGGAGTTTCCTATCGGAATTGTTTTCAATAAATAAATCATATTTCTTTCCAAAAGTTCAACTTCCAAGCTGGCAAAGCCTTGAAGCATATTTTGGAGGAAGATGCTCGTTTATAATGTGACAGGTAGATTTGGCTCTAGGCTTAATTTCACAGATTAGTCAACAATTCGATACTTTATACCTCACAGCCTTTGATAGCGTGCCATGCATCTTTCCCACTTCTATAATTCGCAGGTGCCTGTGGAAGCCTGGAGATGCAAATATTGAAACCAGCCATGCTGAGCTGAGATAGAAGATGTTACGTCTCCTACACACTCCACACCAAGGAGTGTCCGAGCTGCCGACCAGCCCAGAGCAGCACTGAATTCTGCTGCCTCTTGACCCCGGGACAGGCTCTGCGAGGTGCCCTGGGGCTGGTGACAACGCTCAGCAACCTGTGCACGGGGTCAGGCCACATCTTGGTTTCAAATGAGTTATGAACAGTAAACCGAAATTGTTCTAGGTGAACAAAGTTGGGCTTGACCCCAAACACTGGGTTTCTTTGATTTATGTGCCACCTGGAGCCCCTCTTCACCTTTGGTTTCTGCAGCTTTCTAGCACTAACCAGAATCATTCCAGGTGGAAGTAAGGGCATGAAAGGGGATTCCAAAAGGAAATGTGAGTAAAGTCTATACCACACACTCCTTTCTACAGGAGCACCCTGCATCAAGGCCTGAGGGTAGCTGGATACACAAGATGCAATTTACAGGCTTTTTCTGTCACTAACTCTTGCCCTAACTTTGTTTTTAAGATTAAACAGCACCTTCTGAATTTTGTTTCCCCAGCTGAGGAAAGATTATAGATTTAATTTTCAAAAAGTGCATCTCACCCTGCCTTCTGAACACCATACCATTTTAAGATGTCTTAACACTGGGAACTGAAATTTGCCAGTGACCTCTAAAAGAAGCACTTGTACAGCCTGGAACAAAAACACTGTAGATCCTTTCAAACTCATGTGATTGCAAGGTAGTGACTTTTTTCCATAATCCGCATCAGATTCTATGATAAGCCTAGCTTCTTCATGGAAAATTGCACACACACACACACAAAATACTGTAACTGATGAGAAGATAGTATCAAACCAGCAATTTATTGTGTAGTAAACACCCACATCCTGAACTCTCTCTTATCTCTACTATATCAGCTCAGCGCTAATTAACACACTGTAGGAATCCATGGCTACAAGGGAGAGAAGCAGCAGGCAGGATAACATACAAGGACACAAGCAACTGAATATGTTTCAGAGCCATTGCATTTTTTGGGAGGATACCCTGGGCTCCAGCCCCCAGGGCAGGGACAGGTCATGCTTTACTTAGTCCTCCTCCTCCCCATATCGTCTCTATAAGCAGCAGCATAGCCATGTTGCAAATTGTACAGTTTGCAGGGGTAGTAGTCCTCACAGTTCTCCCTCTGACGTTCCCGGGCCGCCTTATGACGCTCCCTGATCCTGCAAAAGTAGGAGAGATGATGGGTAAGTGCTGTCATCTTAAATATCTGTCTACGGCCCCTTCCTGCCCCACAACTCCCCACCAGGATTAAGGGTCCATCACCAGATGCCATCATCCAGCTACAAAGATCTTGGCACACCAACTTCTGTGTTCACCGCACCCAGGGGAGCAATGTGACTACAGCAGGAACGTTTTGCATCCTCAGGTCTGAGGACTAGAACAAGATCTCAAACTGAGCTTCCTTTCTGGCCATCCCACACTGATGCCCTCTCCTTCTGTTGGCATTTCCTTCAGACAAATTAAGCAGAGCCCTCCCAGCACGTGACATGTCCTCAGACGCAAGGACTCGCTCTGTGCTGTCTGAGTTCTGGCTTCTCCCAGGGTTGGGGACTTCACGGGCACCTTACATTGAGAGAGGGACTGAGACTTCTCAGAAGTCACCATGGCTGCCACCCCTGGTACCAGCCTGTGCGTGGCAAGGAGGGACCTCTCCCACTCCCACCCTAGGCGTCCTGAGGCCATAACATACCTCTCCTGAAAGATGCCTCTTAGCCTTGTATCAGGCTGCATGAAGTCATTAGCTCTGCGCCTGTTGATGAAGGGATCTGAGAAGGCAAGAGGTTGTTCAGAGTAGATAGACACTTTTTCAAGGCCAAGTTTCAACAAAAGCTAGCTTCCGCATTTATAACAGCCTCCTCGTCTGCCCTCCCACACACAGTGAAAACCAGGACCTTTTAACATTCCCTGCTGTCCACCCCGCTGGTTCATGCACAGGCTCTCCCTCAGGCTTGCGCAGCCTGTACAAAGTGTACATGCTGCTCTAGCTCTGCTGTTAGTCAAACCACCCGGGGTAAAGCTACCGTGATTTTGCTGCCACAGCCCCTCTGCATGAGTGGAGCTTGGCCAAGAGGTAGATGCCAAGCTGCACAGACCGCAGGAGGTCTGGGCATGCTCAGCAGAATTAGCAGAATACTGAAATTATAGGTAAAACCAGGGAGGGCCTCAATAAGTCTACCTGCCTCCAAGGTTAAGCACTCACTGAGCAGTCTGTGTGGCAGTTTTGGACTGAGGTGCCTGAAGGTCCCTTCTGTCCTTTTTGAGAAACATCACAGTCCTATTGCAGAGTTCAGGAGTCTGTGGATGTCTTTGGCATTGGCTCGCACATGTGCCTTTGTGCTTCTGACTAGCTGCTTGTGAATTACCTCTCCCTAATGGTCTAATTTCTTTTTAGTTTCAAACCATCTGTTCTCTAACTTCTCCAGGTTATTGCTTCCATGGTGAGAACCTCCACACTTTCCTGCTTCTTCTGTGACACTAACTCTCTCTTCCAGACCAAGGAACCCTCCTGCCCACACATCCCACCTGCTTCTTCCAAGATGCTAGAAATAAGGCTCTCCCTGTCCTTGGGGAAGTACAAATCATGTCACTGGCTTCTGCAGTACCTCTTTCTGTGCTCACAGAGCTTTTTGAGCAATATCTTTTTTAGTGCCACTTAACCTGTTTTAGGTGGATGCAGCAGGGATCTAAGTTCATGATTCTTTGTTTTCCAATTCCCATTATACTCTTTGCAAAACAAACTGGTATGCACTTGTGCCCGAACATGTGAAGTTGTTTTTTTTTTAACTCTCTTCCTATTCATCCTGCAACTCCATCACCCACTAAATTAGTTTTTCCTGGTCTGAGTGGTTCTGCCTATTTGCTCTCCACAGTCAAGTACAAGGAAATGGTCTTGGAGATGTCTGTAGCACACTTCAAATTCAAGAAAATAGTAAAGCAGTCTCTTACAGAGATACTCATGGGATTCGATGCTCTCATGGGACTCTGGAGAAAGAAAGAGTAAAACATGTGATAAGACACTGTATTGATGGGATTCACAGACTTTCACACACCACA